GACGGAGCCATTATCGTTTCCTAGTCAGGGCCGGATTAAAACGTATCAAAAAATCTCTCAGAAAATACGACAGGGTCCTATTAAAAAAATACTGTAATTGACTGAAACTGAATTTTATTTACACAATACTTTTGTCCAAACAAATGAATCCTTAACCGCGCATACTTCTCGACAAGTAAAAATGAAAAAATCAATTAAATATTTCACTATAGAGAATAGACAATTAAAATTAAAAAACATGCAACTAACAAAAACATGCCAGGAGTTACAAACAAGAATTAAAGAAATACCAATAAAATATTTATTGAACAATATAAAGAGGCTACGTACAAATTATGCCCATCAATGGGCGTAGCAAATTTTATTAATATTCAAATTTCACAAATTAATAAATCCACAATTTTTTTGAGAAACTTCTATTTTTTCATGGCAGGAAACAAAGTAGGTACCGCATTGTATTTTATACGGTTACAAAGTGAATTGGTAAACATTTTAAATTCAAAATGAACAGAACGCAACTTGTACCTTTTGTGGGCCTTATTTATATCTTCAAAATGTATTGTTAACTGTAATGTATTTTAGATATACTCATTTTATTTACTTTTATAATTATATTTAAATTAATAGTATAATGATTTTTAAATATAATTTATAATGTCTAGATACAACATTAAATTTTACTAAATATTTAACATTAAATCTTACTAATATTAAAGTTTGTTAAGATTTTTAATTAGATCTTCCTATTTAGCTGAATGTCCTAATATGTATACTAGGTACTGTTTTTTTTCACAACTAAAATATGTTAAAATAATTAATCACATATATACATACCTAATAGGATATCTAGGAAACAGAAAGAAACTTTTATTGAACAACAAAAATAAAACTACTAAAACAAATTATATTACATTATAATAATAATAGCTCCCGTATATAGCGTTTGACGCCTTGGGAGTAGCAAGGTACAGCTTGCCATACTAGAGCCGTTCGGTATACAAAGGAAGGTAATGTGGCTAGCACTACGCTTCAACCGCCTATTATTTCTCGAAATTTCGCGTTACCTCAGGATTGTGAATCCCAAGTACTCATTTAAGGCTGAGTCGACCTAAGTACCGAAACTATTTTTATTTTAATAAAAATTGTCGGCTGATGAAATGACGGGTGTGGGATTCGAACCCACTACCTTGAGATTGGTAGACGAGAGCCTGTACCTCTACGCCACTGGGCACCTTTTAGCAATTATAATACATAAGAAACGAAAATAAAACTAGAAAACCCAACTATATCACATAATAAACAAAAACAAAATATATTACTCAAGAAAAAATCAAAATAAATTAAGTCGCACGCTACTGACCCGAATCTGCCGTAACTGTGTGTTGTCGCTGAAAAAACTACGACACTGGTTACTTTCTGTTGATGGAAACGCAAATAGCGGCGTGCGCGAGGATACGCGCGTAGCGTTTCCGCCAAAGCGAGTCGGCCTGCCGTGTGATTTATATACCGTGACCAAATTGTGACCATTCTTCCAAACAGTGCCGTGGAACATATTTTTCTTAACATAGCCGCTTGAAGCGATATTTATATTTTTGGTAAATATTTTCACTACGCCTCTGGTGTGTCCTGTGGTAACATGCTAATTTATTACGAAAAAAACGTATTAAAATGTTAACAAAAGGTACAAAACTAGTATCGACGTATAGTACATATCAAGTACATATAATATCAGAAAAATAATTATCGAATTCAATAAAAAAAACGCTAAAAAGGTGTAGTGGACTGTTTATTTCCCTATAAAAGATCGCGCACACTATACCTACACGGACCGGCACGGACCAGACCAGTAAAATCTACCGGTGAAGGTGACCGTGTTATTTAATAGAGTAGAGCACACTAGACCAGTACCAGCACGTACCGCCACAAGCCACGACCGTCAAAACAGGTCGTGTCGGTCAGGGACAAATATGACCGGCAATATTTATGCCTGGTCGTGCTGGTCCGACCTAATGTGCGCACGGGCGAACCAGTACACCTCCACAAACATGCAAATATTGAAGGGTTCGTCAGTATTTCGAGTACGCTAGCTGGCTCAAGTCGCATGATGTAGGTTAGATTTCGTTTATTTTTGTTCGAACCTTTAAATCGTTTTAAATATGAATGAAGAAAAGCTTATTTTACTGGTACAAAAGTATCCAGAGCTGTGCGATACGAGCCAAGCATTTTATATACATATACAGACCAAGAACGAAAAGATGCAATATGGGAGTCGATAGCAAAAAAAAATAATCAAATTTGATTTGTGACATTCGAAAATATTGGAAAAACTTTTCCTCGAATCTTTTTAATTCAGAAAACAAATGATGAAATTCGCCATATTGCTTTCTCTTTTGATTTATAGGATGAACCCGAAATTTCCTTTTTTTCTTAGCTTCCTTCTCTTCCTCCTCTTCTTCACACAACATGGCTAAAATAATAATTTCTTCCTCTGAACTACTCATTTTCAATACTTCTATGTTGCACGCTCTAGTAGTTGAGCCTTGACAACTGTACTTTTTTCGAAACTCTCGCTTATGTTGCTGGTCTGTGGCGGTAAAGTGTGCGACGTCATGCAGGATGCAGGTTTGTGCTGTGCTGGTCCGTACTGGTCCGTGTATGTATAGTGTGCGCGATCTTTAAAACGTAACACCTGGATCTTTCTTATCATTGCGCCTTTTACACTTGAAAACTGAACAAATTACCATTGTAATAAAGTTTATACAAAGTTCACTACAAACAACCAACTATTAAAAATCGCCAAAATTGTCGCTGATGATCAGCTGATGATTCATTCGTTATGTCCAAAAAAATGGCGTATAAAAGTGACAAATTTTGCTGCAGCCCGTATATGGCCGTTACATGTCCTTGTATTCTTTATAGTCTAAGAGCTGGCTACATAAAAAAACCTTATTATCGTTACATGGCTAATTTTTTGTGTGAAGTATCCTTTTGTGTAGCCATTATGATCCTTTTGTGTAACCATATTTATTTATTTTAAAAGCCGTATGCAAAAGGGCAGACAAAAAGATCGTGGCTCAATCAGCTGCAGACAGTTATCAAAAGCGCGATATTACTCTAGCGCTTTATTCAGGGAACGCTGGCCGCCCCATCCATTTAAGTATAGATAAATCATATAATATACGATTATATTATAAATATATTTTTTTATTATTTCAATAACGATTTTTTTTTCTGCCCTTTTGCATACGGCTTTTCAAATTAATTAACAATAAACATGACATTCCACCAACCGACATGCATGTATGCGATGATTTTCTTTTGTCAAAATTCTATGCCTCTTTCGCGTTGTTTGCCGGCATTTCAGCCACGAGAAAAATGTCTACGTTTCCTAATAATAAATAAAAGCTATTTGGCAATTATAACTCGTGTACCTTATAATATTTTTAGTATCAAAATTTCACCCTTTCGATTGGCCGCCCCCGCTTTAAGCCCCGTGATCACGGGCATGAGCCCCGTGATGCGCTGGCAGACATGACTATTTCATAATGGCTACACAAAAGGATACTTCACACAAAAAATTAGCCATGTAACGATGATAAGATTTTTTATGTAGGTCTATTAGTCATTGTTGCACACAAATATAAAGGCGCGAACTAGCGCGAAATTTATAAGTAAAGGCGCGAATAGTCAGACCACGGGTCAGACGCTAAATTGATTTACGTGGTGGATAGAAACTTAGAAAACTACTCCTATTGGTTAGTATGAAATAAATCAACTAATCGCGAAGCACTTCTCGCGCTTGCGTAGTTCAAAGCTATTGAACGAAATGGACCGACTTAATTTAAAGTTCAAAAGAAATTAATTTAAAGTATAAAATTTACTCAAAAACAAATTGTGACATTAAAGCATCTAATTATGGAATAGGTACCCAATTATGGACCACCATAAAACAAACGCTTCAAACTAATCAAGACGTATATCTAGGGTTTCCATAGTCTTTTGGGAATTCCGCACAAATGAACTCTGAAATCCGGACAGAATACGGACGTCGCGCGTCGCCGTCGTAAAAAAGAAACTATAAATTTGTTTATAAACTTTTATAGGACGCAAATAATAGCCCCGGAATCAACAAAATATAAACCAAAAAACATTCACTGAATGCGCCAAAAGCCAAAATTTTGAGCGCCAAAGTATATAGAAATGGGTACTTTCAAACATGCGTCAGTTAAGTAGAGCTGTAGCATCGTAGAAACTAAAATATTCAACAAAGTATCTGAGAAATTAATTCAACTCTAACTGGGGGTAAAATATTTTTATTAAGTTAAATTGCTTTTGCGGTCAGGTTTCCCAGACGTTTTTCTAAAAGTCCGGGTCGGACTGCCCCGAACACTTTAAAGATCCGGACATGTCCGGGTGAATCCGGACGTATGGAAACCCTACGCTTATCAGACTTTTTTTTATTAAACACATTCAGACAAGAAAAGACCCCTGAAATAATCAAACGCATATGTAATAATCAATGCATTATTGTCACAATAAGAGTTATTTATGGTATTAGTGGAGGGACAGCATCTGGAGGAGTACAAGGTTTTACCATGTTTCTGAATCTACAAAAAAAATCATTTTCATTTCATGTTAATGTTAATTTAAATAAATATTTGAATTAATAATTAATAATTATTAATGGTGTGGCTTTGAAGTTATAACACACTATAGTTTGTTATAACTTCAAAAACTCACGCGTGTGTTATTATTTATTTTATACAATGTATGTATACATGTGAGTAATGAATGTCTGTATAAGTAGTGGCTGTTGGATAAACAATATTATTGGCAATCACGTATCAAGAAATACTTGCACGTGAGTTATAATGACGGAAAGAGATTAAAAATCTCTGTCTGTTGCGATTTCGTTTCCGAGAAACGGCGGTATTCCATATTAGGGATACTATTCCATATTTGGTTACTCTCCTCTAGTAATTTTGATTTATTTTCTCTAGTAACTAACTCAATTAGCGAACCAATGATTGGCTGGGGCGATAATTTTAATGGTCCAGTTGGTATAAGTATAGGAAATGGTTTTGGAGTGCTTAGGATATTTATGGCCGACTTAAACATATCTATGGATTATGTTCCAATAGATACAGTAATTAAAGCACTAATATTGGCCGGTAGAAACACGGCACAGTCACAGTCCGAGTATGAATCAAAATTTTAGCAATATATGCATTTAGATATATTTAAATATTTTCTAGATCATCTACATCTGTGGACGTAATTCAACCGAGCGCTTTCGGGTTCAAGAAGTATTCATTGAAATTGTTTGCGCAACTAGGCCAACAAGTAGTGCATAAATACCCGTTAGACATGCAAATTTGGTACCCAAATATGACGTTTACTCAAAGTTGGATTTATTACTATATCAACGCAGTTTTATTTCATCTAGTACCGGCAATATGTATTGATTTACTTCTCAGAATATTTCGATACAAACCAATGTGAGTACAATTTGAATAAGTTGTCTGATGAGTTCGGTAAAATTCAATTACAGATTTTAGAATATACAGGGTAAGAGAGAATATTCCGTAGACAAAAATTACTACACATACGTTTGGAATGAAGATAAATTAAGGTTGATTCTCACTATACCATCCATATCAACTATCTTCCGTTTCCCGTACCTTTACATAAAATATTATATCATGTAAATGAATAGGAGAATGCACACTATCCGTTCCGTATCCTCTCATTCCATTCATTTTTTTGGCGGCCGGACCGAAGCGTATCGGAAACAGCTTTGTCAAGTTCTTACATTTGTACCAGCTCTGCTAACATTTTCCTGATATTTATTTATTCTTTCATCTTTTAATTAGATCTATTACCTTTTTCAAAAGATGCAAATTTTTAAAACAAAACTTTCGTAATTATATAAATTGTACAATAAAAAGTATGGAACTGATACGGAACGGAAGCTTACGTATAGCGTCAATACAATATAAAAAATACGAAACGGATATGGAATGGATATGGAATGGAAACGGAAGGTATAGTAAGAATCAACCTTTAATTGGACACAAAATTTACCTGTACAGGGTGTTTCAAAAAACATATGTGCCATCTCTCGTGGGGAGATTCCTTGCGTAAAAATAAGATTTGTTTTTGATTTCAACATGAGTCCGATTCTGCTTTGTCTCGTATAGCTACAAAGGGAATAAATTCTTATTAGCAAAAGTGTGTAGGCTATTTAAAGCCGATTAAAAGTTGTCTCTTGATATTCTCATTCATTTCGATCTCCTCGATGAGATCATGATGAGATAAACTCAATTTTATTAATCAGAATTAATAAAATTAAAATAAAAATACAATTAATACATTATTTATTTAATGTAATAAAGCTTGCTATTGAACTGAGGCAAACTAATTAAATTGCGTTTATCTCATCAAGGCGACTGAAATCGATAAAAAAATTGTGTACTATTTCGTTAAAGAGACAAAAGTTAGTGGCGTACATGCTTGTTTTAGAAAAATATTCCAATGATAACCAATATGCACGTTCCTAGTGAACAATATGTTGACACTTTTTTAGCATTAAAATATGTCTCACATACAGTAACTTTTACCATCAAAATTTCATTCCTATCGCTAAAAATACTTGAAAGAAAATTATATAATAAATCGAAAAATATGCTGCGCAACAATCGGCCCTATATTCAGCGACGTGTGGTCCATAAAAGCGGAAGAAGCACCGCTTCCCTAAACTTTTTAAAGATAAAAAAATAAATAGTTAAACGGTAATAATACTGTTATTTTGTAACAAAAGATTAATTTAATTTGTTAAGATTATTTATTTGAAACCTTACATAAACGTAGTAAATTTAATTAGCCTTGTAACACAGAACTATTATATAGCGCCCCTCTTGGACCGGACCGATAGGACGAGTCCATTATCAAGAGAGCGAGGGACAGTAGGAAGAAGAATAACATATGATTAGTATCTTAAGAAATGTGAAAGTATTGTCACGTAAAGTTTATTAATAAAAGTGTTTGTTAAATTCTTCAAGTTTTGTCACAAAATTTATGGTTCGACACCCCACAAAATAAATGTAACGGAACCCCGTCACAAATTGGCGCCCAACGTGGGGCCATAAAAGGTGAAAAATCGTAGAATTGTTTCAAAAAACCGAAGTCTTGCAGTCATAGTGGTTCGCCCCGAATAAGCCTTTACAGTCGTAAAGCAATACCGGATCTTTGGCAATCCTTTCCTGAAACAAGAAACTGTAAGTCCAAAAGCTTTTATTAATCAATTCTTTGAAAATTATTGCTCAAGAAGAGGTTAATCCCGCCGTATCGTCAGTTGTGACGTCACACGCCCAAAAAAGTCAGGAACGATACCACGTATCCAAATCATTCTTGACGTAATCGTTTTGAAGAAAATCCTTGGATTGGACAGAAATTTGTTTTGCTCCCAGTTCTCCAAGAAATTTCAATTCACTAATGGTTTAACTGATTAAGGACTAACAAAACACTCAAATAAGACTTTCTTTTACATCAGTGTGCTCACGGTTCAAGAAAATCAACAGTATTTATAAATACCCATCGAATTCTGTGCAACCACGGACACACACAGATATAATTTACGTTCCCGTCAGAACTACCCTCACGATAACGAAAACAAGACGTCAATAACAATGAGTGATGAACAGTTTCAACAACTCTTAGCCAGACTTTCCGTAGGTAATCAAAATCCTACTCAAGTTGCTTTAGCTCAAAATGGAAATTTTACTGGTTGTTTGTCGAGATTTGATGGTGCGAAAATTTCCAGTGTTCAAGCATTTATTGACTTGGTATCGATATATAAAGACTGTGCGCAAGTATCAGATGAAAATGCGATGAAAGGACTTCCGATGTTACTAGATGGTTTCGCTGCCGAATGGTATCAAGGTGTAAAAGCTACCATAAGTACCTGGAAAGAAGCAATTGATCTTTGGAAGCTTACGTTTGGACCGCAAAAACCTGCCTATCGTGTGTATCGTGAATTATTTGCAAATGAACAAGATGAAAGTACACCTACTGACATTTTCGTTTGTAAAGCCCGTTCTACGCTAGCACAACTTCCAAATAATACTCTAACAGAAGAAACTCAATTAGACATGGTATATGGACTCCTACATCGAAGATTACGTGAAAAACTTTCTCGCAACAAAATCAACAACTTCAACGAACTTCTATCCCAAGCTAGACTAGTTGAAGAAAGTTTGAACGCACCGACTCACGAAATGAAAAGACAAATGTCCACGCAGACAAAGATAAACGTCCAAGATGTCTGTATTGTCGTAATTTTGGCCATGTAAAAGACGATTGTCGCAAGCTGAAGAAAACTCAGTCAGCAGATTCAAGAAATTCTGTACCACAACCAACTGCTTCAAGTAACAAAGCTGTACTTCAAAAAGAGCCCAAGAAGAATGATGGTATTGCGTGCTATGGATGCGGAAATCCAGGTTACATCAGAAGCAACTGAAGCAAGATGACCATTTTGTGATGAGTACCGAATTCCTCTGTAACACAATCAACCACGAATCATCATTGACTAGGCCATTGGTTCCCATAAGTATACATCAGCATAATGGATATGCTTACTTAGATACAGGTGCAAAATCCAGTGTTGCCGGATCTGCATTAGCTCAGCTACTATTAAAAGACAATATACCATACATTATCAAGAACGACCTTGAAATGTCACTTGCTGATGGTATTAGAAGAAAAGTTACCGCCCATATTTTTGACATTGAAATCATATTTCATTGAAGAAGTGTTCCTATAGAAATATTAGCTGTCCCAGAACGTCAAAACAGTCGTACATTACTAGGTGTAGACTTCATTCACAAGGCTAACGTTATCCTTGATATTCCAAACAAGACATACTTCTTTGGTGAAAATCCACATGAATGTTATAACTTTACCACAGAGGAGTCTGTTTCGCTAGTCTCAGTCAACACTGTAACCTTTTCTCAGATAATTCTACGAGACGAAGAAGGTAGTTCTTTGCAACCAGAAGAAAGGAAGAACTTAAATAGTCTCTTACAAGAAAATCATACAGTCTTCGAGAGTAGTAACGAACCAACTCCATACGCAGAACATTGCATCGTTTTGACAGATGACAATCCCATCGCAGTTCCTCCATACCTAAGAAAGATGATGGAATACGCTTAACTGTAGACTACAGAAAGTTAAACGCCGTGACGAGACCGTGCAAATATCCGTTGCCAAGAATCGATGACCTGCTTCATGAAGCTAAGAAAACAAATTACATGACTACCCTAGATCTGAAAAGCGGTTATCACCAGGTTAATGTCAAAGCCTCAGATCGAGATAAGACAGCTTTTATTACCCCTTTTGGTACGTACAGATATATCAGAATGCCCTTTGGACTATCCACAGCGCCTTCAACGTTTCAAAAGTTGATGGATCGTTTCAAGTCTGGAATACCTGAAGTTCTCCTATTAGCCTACCTAGATGACTTAATTGTCATTTCTTCAAGTTTCGAAGAGCATCTTGCTGATCTTCAGAAGGTATTTAAACTGAAATTGAATAGGAAGAAATGTTTCTTTTGCTGTAAATCTGTTCTATACCTTGGACATTTTATTTCTCCCGAAGGTGTACAACCCGACGACTCAAAAGTTGAATCAATATTGAAGATGACTCCGCCCAAAAACGTTAAGCAGTTGCTCAGTTTCCTGCAAACTTGCTCTTGGTTCAGGAGATTTATCCACAATTTTGCTGAAGTATCCAAACCGTTGTCGATGCTTACGAAAAAGAATGCAACTTGGAATTGGAAACTACCACAGCAAGAAGCATTTGATCAGCTAAAAGTGTTAAGTGTGCTAAGTTCAGCCCCAATCCTACGTCAAGCAGATACGAAGTTACCATATATACTAAGCACTGATGCCAGTAGCTATGCTCTGGGAGCATGTTTACTCCAGGGGGAGGGCGCAGACGAACGATCTGTTGAATACGCATCAAGATTGTTAACAATCGCTGAACAGAACTACACCACTACTGAACGAGAAGCTCTTGCTATTGTTTGGGCAATCCAGAAATTTCGCGGATATGTAGAAGGAGCCACAATTCTTGTTCAGAGTGATCACCAACCACTACGATAGCTTATGTCTTTGAAGATTCCAACCGGACGACTTGCTCGTTGGGCTTTCAGCTTACAAGCGTTCGATTTACATATAGATTACATAACTGGAAAGAAGAATGTAATTGCCGACACCCTGTCCAGACCTGTTCTTGACGAGTCACCTGATTCCAGCAACATGATTAGTGTTGATATGCCTAATAAACCCGCTAGTGACGTTAGAGCTGAACAACTAGAAGATCCAGAGCTTCGTAAAATCATTACTGACCTAGAATCCTCCGCCACTAGTACTGACTTCAAGAAATGGGCTGAACGTGGATATATAATGTCAAACGGAATTCTATTTCGTTATAATCCAGATATTGACGAGGAAGAACCGCAACAAGTAATACCCTCTAGCCAAATTCCTCATATCATACGGGAATACCATGATTTGGAAACCGCAAAATGGCTGAGAGACGAATAGACCTCAAATACAAATAGGTGCCTATCGCGCGTCAAGTGCTTCGGAAAATTAATTTAAAATATCGTATTTTAACTATTATAACTTTATGTGTTTTTGTTTGTTTAACAATTTTCGATAGAATTTTAATCAAACAATGGAATTGGCCTCGGAATTTTCAAAGGTAATTTTTTTAAGAAAATGTAAAAGTAATGTCTCGAAATAGGGTTTTTTTACCGATTCGGTTCCCCGCCTATAATTGTCACCGCACGCCGCTGCCTATATTGATATGAAACATAAATCTTATTTTTACGTGAGGAATCTCCACACGAGAGATGGCACACGAGTGAAACACCCTGTATATTAATTTTATTTAGATATTGTGTGTGTAAAAAATAGACATTTATTTCAGATTATTTAAAATACAAAGAAAAATTTTTATAGCTAACTTAGCTGTAAGCTATTTTACTACCCATGAGTGGAATTTTCTAAATGACAAAGCGCTCCGTTTATTTGAATGTTTAGAGGACTCTGAAAAAGAAGATTTCAAATACATAGTTGTGAATGATAATGAACACGCGTATCGGTATCTAAAAGCGAGTCTCAAAACCACGAAATGGCTCTTATTGGGGCAAAGCAAAGGTACTAAATCCTCCGCGTTCAAAATAAATAAAGGGTAAGTAAATTTGAGATATTAGGTAATTCCAGAATTATACTATATTATAATTTTATTTTTTGGAAGGCCGTTTATTACTTATTAAACTTACTAAAATCTATAAATTGGGTTAAATATTAGGCTTTTGTGTTAAAATGGCGCCCTAAAAAGCATATTCTACATTACTTTTTATTAGGGCCCCCCTAAAATAAATTTGTGTATCCGCCCCTGTAGACAAAAATTAACTTTTAATAGTCTTCTTGCGTTTAATTTGTAAATAATTACCACTTTTATGAAATTCAAAATGATTGAAAAAAGTAGCAAAAACGTTCCCAAGTTGGTACACCAAGCATTTACAGGGTGAATTGCAAACGTCGCCTCTCCGACCCGACGAATCTTAACAATCCCACTGTAAACGATGGTATACGTGAGAATGCGGAATTTCGTGGTAGAATTGACCGGTGCCTCGTCATCATTAGACTACCTTAGCAGACATCGTACGACCGGAACACAGACCGGAAACAATATCTAATTCCTAACAACAACTCAAGAGGCGGATCGCGGGCTGACCAGTTCCCACCCTAGTTAATGATTTTATGGTTCCCACATCCTCACATACCTACAGTACATTTGCTGGATCTGTGTCTATGAAAGGAATGCGGACAAAAATCATTTAAATAAACAGTAATATACCGTATGATCGAAAAAAAACGGCGTCAGCGATGGCTATGAAATGAACATCGCTGTCATTTTATATGTAAAATTATTTGGGAAATGTCATTGATCGTCATTTCCAAGCCAACTGGACGACGTTTTTTTTCGATCATAGGGTATTTTATACGTCGACTTGACGAGTACGTCACCGCAAATAGCTCCGCCCACTCATTTTATTGGCTACTTGCAAATTTGTCGAATATTTATTGATGGGACGCCTCATCTATTTTTTTACGAAAAACATCGAGAGAATATCGTTTCCCCTCTCACGGATACCCCGTAGATACAGAACGGACAGACGTACTGTACAATACCTCAAGCGCCAGAAAGTAGGATTAGAGTTAAACATTGCACGCCGCGTCTGCGAATCCCAAATGATTGTCTTTTGTTTTTTATATAAGTACTTATTTTATGTCGGAAGCGAGCGGTGAGATATTAAGACATTGGGCGCGTTCAGGGACGGTCAGCGGCTGAGTGGCTGAGTAAGCGGTTTCCCCTGTGGGTTTCCCTAAACGGTCTATTTTTACACGCAAAAACAGTCAGCCGCTGAGTAAAATACTCAGCGGTCGGTCAGCCGCTGTATCCCTGAACGCGCACATTGATTGTCCAAAGGTGTATTACTGGTTGCTAAAGTTTCATAAATAATTTGTTTAATTAATTGACTAAACAAAGGTGAATTATTGCTTCCATATACTTCAAGTAGAAGATAAATTATATGATAAGATGATTTTTATACCGTATGATCGAATAAAAACGGCGTCAGCGATGGCTGAAATGAAGATCGCTGTCATTTTATATGTAAAATTATATGGGAAATGTCAGCGATTGTCATTTCCCAGCCAACTGGACGCCAGGCGCCATTTTTTTTCGATCATACGGTATATTTCGTAACGGTATTTTATATGCTTGTATACCGAACGGCTCTAGTATAGCAAACTGTACCTTGCTACTCCCAAGGCGTTAAACGCTATATACGGGAGCTATTATCTATTATTATACCTATATATTTTATATGAAATATTATTTTTAAGAAATTTTAAAAAATTAACGACTGACATTTCAATTTCTCATCAGTGAAAGATGGCGGCAAGTTCGCGGGAAATCGAATATCGCCCATGAACCAGAAAAACAATAAAAGGTATAAAACCGTTTTATTAAATAAATATACCCTTTATAATACAGCCAAATTTTAACTATGTATTTCCTTTCCAGTGTTTAGCTTCAGATAATACTAAAACAATAACCAAATACTAGTACCTATAATACTACTTTCTAAGCGATGTCCTTCAACACAGAAGTCCTAAAAAAGACCAGCTTCTTGTTCCAAGACGAACTTAGAACTATGCACTGCCAAAATTCAAGATATATGTGGAATAATTAATATAGAACAATACAAATATTCCTAGAAATGCGATTAAAAATTGACATTATGTGCCTAATATGTGAGATATCATAAGCTTGTACCTACGACCTGTTCAAAACAAACTAAAAACTAAACAAAGTTGCGTTCATACTGATCTGTAATCCAAAAGTAGTTTTACAACCAAGAAAGCTGTGTAAATAATTATTCCAGGAAACTGTATTGGAATTAATTTTAAGACTCTTTGAACATGATCAAGGTTTTTACGAAAATATTGCCTTATTGTTGCACATCAGGGGATTACCAACTCAACCTAGTCTTTGAGGAAACGGCAATGATTTCTCCAGCTGGCTTGATTCATTTGACTGTGTTGTTAGGATAAAATTGTAAGAAGTCTTCACTAGAGGAAATTCACACTCTGTATCTCAACCGAGGCTGGGAATCCTTGGATCTGATTTTCTTAAAATAACATTCTAGATATTCCAAAGTAATAATGTGTGAATTTCATCTAATAATAAATAAAGCTAGTTTGAAGCATTTTAATAATCCGCGCATTCGCCATTTTCTATACAAGTATTGTTTAATTTCCCTTAAAATTTAGGGTCGATAATAAAATGTTTTTTACTCTTAATTGCTTCCAATTAAAATTCTTTTTGCTTTTAAATATATACTTATATTACTGAAACCTGTTAACAAACAGAAATTTGTTTAATTATTTAATTATTTTACTTTATGAAATATATTTAAAAGATGTACCTACAAAAATTATTCAGGAATAGGTACTTGCAATACTGATTGTATTTTATTTCTAGATTTTCTTCAACATTGGCAGAGACAGTTCAAACAAAAAGACTTGAAAATGAAAGCAACAAGTCAGCAATTTAATAGGCCTAGTTACTTTTACCATCCATTGTGAGGGTAAATAGAGTATTATGCATTTTTGTTTGGGACACCGTGTAGAATCTTTCAAATTTTATAAAAACTCCAATGCGTCTATTTAAAGTGCCTTTTTATTCAATTAAAAAAAAACATACATATATGTAATTCCCATTTAATCTTTAAAATAAAACGAATAAATAAAGAGTTGTTTTTTTTCCATATAAACATTAAAACGATTTAATCAAAGACAGTGGCGGATACAGAGGGGTGCCCATCGGGCCACCTCCACCCCCCTAAAATCTATAAATTGGGTAATACATTGTTAATCTAAAGCCCCGTTCTCAGAACTGCGACTGTCGCCAGCGACACGACAAAAGAACCAATCAGATTTGTACAAAATTCAAACAGCTGTCAATTTTAAATTTAGTACAGCTCCCATTGGTCGTTTGAAGTGTCAATCAGTGTCGCTGTCGACACGACGCAGTTCTGAGAACAGCGACACGTCAAGAACAGCGACACGTCAAGAGGACCAATGAGATTTGTACAAAATTCAAACAGCTGTCAATTTTAAATTTAGTACAGCTCCCATTGGTTGTTTGAAATGTCAAACTGTGTCGCCAGCGACACGACGTCGTTCTGAGAACGGGGCTTAAGGGTAATACTAGACACATATTAGAAACTTGTTTATTTTTTTGTAGGTTCTATTATTTGGACAGGATTTGTAAAGGAATCTTTTATATATGCGTAATTTGGATTGCCTTCTTCAAGTACAATATAATAGCAGCTCTTTTGGGTGCTACTTCAAACAACTGGACAGGATTATATTAATAAAAAAACAATAATATTAATTGTATCTATTAATGATTAGTATTAAATAAATACAAAAATGTTAAGTGGCTAGTCTTTCTCTACAACTCTACAACATATTCATGTTTTCAAATACAGTAGAACTCGGTTATAGCGAACCCGGGTTATAACGAACGCTTGGTTTTAACGAACAATTGATAAAATAGAAATTATCTTTCCATATACACGTGCTTTTTATGGCTGGATATAACGAACACATTTATAGCGAACGATCGGTTTAAACGAACTCTTTTATCGGGAAAAATCGCAGGTCGGATCGGTTATAGCGAACAAATATGCATATGTTTTACTGTCCTGACCAATCACGTAGCAGTAATATCACGCCACCCACGGCAATAATAAATCGTAGTCAATTTTAGCGATTAAGCGAATTTCGGACGTTTAAGTCGTTGGTGTTTGGTAGTACAGACTTTGTATCAATCGATGAAAATGTAGTAACCACTAAACTTCCAAGCGATATTGAACTAATGACGCCAGAGGCTGAAACCATTGATCTCGCCATTGATTCAGAAAATGAAGAAGGAGAAGATGAACCAAGTGAAGAAGTACCAACCGTTTCAAAAACTCTTCATTCAATGACTGCAGTTTCACAGTTCTTACACTATTCTGGTGCCGATTCTAGCGTATTCAGTGCATATGATAAATTGTATTCTTACATAGAAAAACAAGCTTTTACTAAAAATAAGGTTCGAAACAAAATGACCGACTACTTTTTACCAAACAGTAATTAGGTAATGTTTAAAGTTTAGCAGGTTCTTTTGTACCTACATTAGAATACCTCTGATACGTATTTTTTATAATTTACATACATATTACGTATCATGTATTTATGTATTTACCTACATACGTTAATCTGCATTTATATTTCTCATTATGTGTGCCGGTTTGTTTTTCGCATTATGAATACATAACTTCATACAGTATGTATTTTCCTGCATTTTTTAATATATGAACTTATGTAGCACATATGTATACATTTTTGAAATACAGTTTTTTATGATGTTTACTACGTATGTAGTTTTTTATTTAAAAAAAATACAAATTAACAAAAAACTGGATATAACGATCACTCGGCAATAGCGAACAAATATTTTGGTCTCTTCAAGTTCATTATAACCGAGTTCTACTGTATTCATTTAAAATTTTAGAAAATTGACAATTTATTTGGAATAAAAAAAAATTAAGTCGATAAACTATATTACTTAGTGTTATAATAGCTAACAAAGCAGATAAATTATATAACTAAATATTAATTAGTACGAAGTTGATAGTCGCCGTTTTGTGTGATATATCTGACCCAAGGTAAAGCTTGATAACCACTTTTTTCAATGATTTTTAAGTAACGCACTTGAATACCAGATGTGGTGAAGTAAGGAATTTCAAATTTAACTTGAATCGGTGGTTTACCTTCTGTATCTTCACATTCAACACTGGGTAGACCAAAATGAGCTCTCATTAGATATTCCTTACCTAAAAAAATAAAATATGTTATAATTATTGTAATATAAAACTGAATTTATTTAAATACCTCCAGGGAATGACTTAATAGTCCATGTAATAGCATTTTGTTCAGGAGCATATTTTACACTTCCAATTGTGGTTTTGAATTTTGGCGAATCGGCATCATGAGGAACTGGAATAACTATTTCAACGTTATTGGCAGTAGACCTTCTTTTAAACTGAGATTTAGCTTTAATCATATATTCTACACGACTATGAGCGTGTCTCTCTATAACTGATTCAATCCAAATTAAAGGTTTAACGTGAGTGTTGAGTCTATAAGACATGAGCTCAAACTCCCCATCGGGTGGAATAAAAGATATTGTCCGGTCAATTTCAAAACGAGATAGTCTTACACACTGATGAAATTTTACATCTTCCAGTTCGACAGACTTTGATTTGCCTCGGCCAGTGCTTTCAAATAATACTTTGTCGTTAAGACCTAATCTTAATTCAGGCATTCCTGATAAGTATACTCTCATTTTTATGGCACCTACAATTTCACTTCTTAGCACATTGCCATTAGCATTTGCCAAAAGATTTACCGATTCAATCACATCAAGAAAAACCTCGTTTTTTCGATACTTAATACCTTCTGATCTCCATGAAACTGCATTAGTTACGGCCACCGGAATACGCGGCTGAATTTCTAATTTATGACCCTCTTGAGTTATATATTCTTGTAAAATTTTGCTATCGGTGGTTTGAGGATAACCAAAATCGATTAGCTCATCTAACAATTCATAAATAACAACAAAATTATCTCTAATACTCTCTTCTTCGAGTTCTTTAAAGTACTCGGTCATTACTTGGACAATTTTATGTAAAAATACAAATACCAAGGCTATATTGGCGTTTTTCTTCGTCGTGCTTACAATATACAAATTGTTAGTTTTGATGTACGCGAAAGTACTATCATTCGTTTGTAGAATGGGAGTAAGTAAACCTTCTTCTTCTTTTTCCATCAGCAAAGGCATAAATTTCTCAATTACTCCTAGATCCGTATCTCCCCTGTAATTTCGAGAAATTAGGACTTTTCCTTTGATATCCAAAATGTAAATCGCTGACGAAGACATTTTATATATAATAATATTACGTATAACACTATATAAAGTATAATTATTTTACATTTTCTAAAAAAACATTTGTATTTATTATACACCTAGACACGTCAGAATCATCTCGGATTGACATTTGACAATCACAAGTTGACATGACACTACAAATATTTGACAGATCTTAACCATTGATTGTCTTTGCTCCGCTTCCATAGCTTCGAGACAAGTCAAGATGCCCATCCTTGCCCATCTGTATACAGTGTAAAAAACGTGTGAAATTTAGTTGAAGGTATTTTACATTAAAACGCAAAAAATGAAATAGTCCCTTAGTTTAGTCTTTAAACATATACCAAAGAAAAGAAATTTGGGTAAAGGGGTGGATCCGGTGGCTGACCTTGAAGCCCATATTTGCTGCATTTGATCATCGATACTACGCAAGCGCATATCGTCGATGTTGCCAAATTGCAGTTTATTTTCGAATTATTTGCAGTTGAAAAATTTCTTTTTAGTGTTAATCAATAATACAAATTCTATAATTAATTTCATAATTTCAGATTTATCTTGATATCCAAAATTAAGGTAAGAAGGATAATGAAGATTGTGAAATGAAAGTATAATGAATATATAAAATTGTACTAATGATAATATTTATTATATATATTTACATTTACGGATTTTTTTCTTAATGGTTTTAAACTTATTAGAATTATTTTATTTCTTTCAAGTTATTTAATTTCTAGTTATTTACAGGCAACAATAGTTTTGATTATATGTATTGATGTATTGAAGTACTACCATGACGAGTCTTTATAGAACAATATACATGTCAATGAGATAGAGGTAACATTTTACCTATAATGTTACTAATATAATATACTTTGATTATAATGTTTGTATCATAATTTCTTAAAAATATCAAGTTAGTGGATTAATAGATGGATTAATAGCAATTTTAGACATATATTTTATCGAAGAGTGTGGTGATAAAATAAGTTGAATAAGCTTTATGTTTTATCTTTTTCTCTTTAGAAGGGAGACGTAGAATACATTACAGTATTTAATATCGTATACTTTGATATTCTTTTCTTAATTTACTGTAATTTCTTGCTTCCTATAATGCCAAATCTTGACAATATGGTGAAGGTTGAGTTTTGATCTTATTAGTTTTATACCTATGTTTATACAAGATCAAATTAAGACTTAGTTAGTTTGTAATTTATATTAAGATCTTTCTTATAATATTTGTTATGTCTTAATCTTAATACTATATTATGCTTTTGTCTGGAAAATAAATGTTAAAATATCTTAATTTTGCATATCCTATTCCATATCCTTCCATTAGGAAAAATATGGTTTATAAATCATATATGCTAAGAAAATCACATAAATTAGGTGTAAGGTAAGAATAGAGAAATCTTAAGGTAGCAGAAAAATTAATGCAATATATGTATAAGCAGCATTAAACGAGGTAACTGTTAATGTTGCTGAAGCTGATCAACAATTTTAATTACGGAGGCTAAAAGGCATTTTAAGGCCTCCGTAGTTTTGATGGAATGTTAAAAAAACCTATTATGAACATGACATGGAGCTACAGCATATAAAAATTAAAAAAAAAGAAAAAACTTAGACACGTCCCTTTTAATTTCCCGAATTTTTAATAAAACACTTTTTAAACGCAGCATAATAATCTAGAGCAATTAGATTAAGTATGAGAATCTAGAGTTTTACTTCTATTTAATTTTATTGACTATGAAAATACATAATAAGCGTTCACGTGTTGTGCGAAATATTAAAATAATATAAATAATATACCGGCGTACTATGATTGAAAAAAAAATAGCATCAGCGATGACTATGAAATGAAGATCGTTGTCATTTTATATGGGAAATGTCCTTAATCGTCATTTCCCAGCCAACTGGACGCCGTTTTTTCGATCATACGGTATATGTTGACAAAAAAAACACTGAAAAGCACATATTTGTTTTCTACTGAAAATAATTCAAAAATAACTTGCAATCTGGCAACATCGAAGATGTGCACATGCGTAGTGTCTGTGACTATATGCAACAAAAACTCGTTTCAAGATCAGCCACCGGATCCACACCATTACCGAAATTTGGCACATAAAAGAAGATCAAGGCGGATCCTGTCTCAACAATTGATCACATAATCGGGGCTACCCTATAACAGGCCGGATAGTCCTAATAGTTTGGGCTTTTAAATTATTTAAAAGAAGGTGACTTATCCTATCTGTGGGCAAGGATACTATAGAGATAAGGATAGTTCGCTTTATGGTGGGTTTGAGCCAAATAAAATAAAATAAGAATAAAATAAAATAAGAAATAAGGAATTCTTATTTGTGTGCGTTCATACAGTCAAATAAAATAAAATAAGAAATATATATTTGCTCATGCGCAGTACGATGAGGCTGGATAAAAGTTAACTTTTACGATTGTTTATAGTAATTTTACTATTTATAGTATATTTATTTGTTCGTTGCCTACTATATTATATATTTTACTTATGTGAAATTATAAAATAAATTAAATCCAAACTGAAAATATTTGTAGGTTAGAATTAAGCGTCCGCAAAGCCGTTTAAAATAAAATAACACATAAAATAAAACAAGAAGTTAAAAGACAAAGACTTCTTATTTTATTTGTTATTTTATTTGGCTGTATGAACGCATGTACGGTATCCCATATAACCAACTTTCTTATTTTATTTTATTTTATTCTTATTTTATTTTATTTGGCTGTATGAACCCACCATTAGTGATGGGTTGTTAAGCCCCGTTCTCAGAACTGCGACTGTCGCCAGCGACACGACAAAAGAACCAATCAGATTTGTACAAAATTCAAACAGCTGTCAATTTTAAATTTAGTACAGCTCTCATTGGTCGTTTGAAGTGTCAATCAGTGTCGCTGTCGACACGACGCAGTTCTGAGAACGGGGCTTTAAAGCCCCGTTCTCAGAACAACGTCGTGTCGCGTGCGACACAGTTTGACATTTCAAACAACCAATGAGAACTGTACTAAATTTAAAATTGACAGCTGTTTGAATTTTGTACAAATCTGATTGGTGCTTTTGAAGTGTCGCTGGCGACAGTCGCAGTTCTGAGAACGGGGCTTAAAGGTGTGGATCCGGTGGCTGACCTTGAAGCCCATATTTGCTGCTTTTGATCATCGATACTACGCAAGCGCACATCGTCGATGTTGCCAAATTGCAGTTTATTTTCGAATTATTTGCAGTTGAAATTTTTTTTTGCGTGTTAATCAATAATAATACAAATTCTATAATTTCAGATTTATCTTTATATCCAAAATTAAGGTAAGAAGGATAATGAAGATTGTGAAATGAAAGTATTATAATATATAAAATTGTAATAATAATAACATTTATTTATATGTTTACATTTGAATTAAAATTTATCATTTACGGATTTTTTCTTAATGGTTTTAAACTTATTAGAATTATTTTATTTCTTTCAAGTTATTTAATTTCTAGTTATTTACAGGCAACAATATTTTTGATTATATGCATGTATTGATGTTTTGAAGTACTACCATGACGGGTCTTATTATAGAACAATAAACGTCAATCGGAGACAGAGGTAACATTTACCTATTATATAATGTTACTAATATAATATACTTTGATTATAATTAATGTTTGTATCATAATTTCTTAAAAATATCAAGCATAGATATCAAGTTAGTGGATTTTATCGAAGAGTGTGTTGATAAGACTAAAATAAGCTTTTATGTTTTATCTTTTCTCTTTAGAAGGGAGATGGTTTGTATCGTAAAATACATTACAGTATTTAATATCGTGTACTTTGTTATTCTTTTCTTAATTTACTGTAATTTCTTGTTTCCTATAATGCCAAATCTTGACAATATGGTGAAGGTTCAGTTTTGATCTTATTAGTTTTATAAGAATAATAATGATAATAGAAATACAAGACTAAATTAAGACTTAGTTTGTGATTTATATTAAGATCTTTCTTATAATATTTGTTATGTCTTAATCTTAATACTATATTATGCTTTGTCTGAAAAATAAATGTTAAAATATCTTAATTTTGCATATCCTATTCCATCCTTCCATTAGGAAAAATATGGTTTATAAATCATATTATGCTAAGAAAATCACATAAATTAGGTGTAAGAATAGAGAAATCTTAAGGTAGCAGAAAAATTAATGCAATATATGTATAAGCAGAATTAAACAAGGTAACTGTTAATGTTGCTGCAGCTGATTCTACAGTTTTAATTACGGAGGCTAAAAGGCCTTTTAAGGCCTCTGTAGTTCCGTAGTTTTGATGGAATGTCCTATCTCTGATGGAAAATCCTATTATGAACATGACATGGAGCTACAGCATTTAAAAATTAAAAAAAAAGAAAAAACTTGGACACGTCCCTTTTAATTTCCCGAATTTTTAATAAAGCACTTTTTAAACGTAGCATAATAATCTAGATAGGAATCTAGAGTTTTATTTCTATATAATTTTATTGACTGAAAATACATAATAAGCGTTCACGTGTTGTGCGAAATATTAAAATAATATACCGCGTACTATGATTGAAAAAAAAATAGCGTCATTGCTGAGACTATGAAATGAAGATCGCTGTCATTTTATGGAAATGTCCTCAATCGTCATTTCCCAGACAACTGGACGCCGTTTTTTCGATCATACGGTATATATTGACAAAAAAACACTGAAAAGCACATATTTGTTTTCTACCGAAAATAATTCCAAAATAACTCACAATCTGGCAACATCGAAGATGTGCGCATGCGTAGTGTCTGTGACTATATGCAGCAAAAACTCGTTTCAAGGTCAGCCACCGGATCCACACCATTACCTTAACAAATATAATACCATATTATACAAACTCACGTACAAGCTACTAAACTACACCCTCTACATGAACTACATTAACTACATGTAATGTAGTTTATGTAGTTTTTAAAAGTAACATGTAGTTTTCCGAACCCTGGGTGAACTATATAGCTAGTTGTCAAATTTATCAGCTGTTCGGTCTTTGTACTTTGCTTATGTTTTGAAATTTTTTTAATTTTACATTAAATTTATGACATCGTATTGTACTTTGCGTATATTATGTATTAGTCCATAAACTTTTTAATATTCTCTTTCAGTTCATTCATGGTTTTATATACATTTTAGAGTATATCTAAATAACATAATTATTTTGATTATATTACTTTAAGGTAGTGTAGGTATATAAAATGAGCGGTATACTTATTACATTGCCAGAATTATTTAATTCGTATAAATCTTGGGTTAAACATAATCCACAGCTTGCCAGTGATTATGAAACGACAGTTAAATGGTTATCTTATTTTCTTGCCGGTAAAAATACAGCAAAAAAATATATACCTGTTTTATTATAATAAACTTATTTTTTAGGTCGTGTCCATAATTCTCATGTCGTATCGGAACTAGTATATTGTTTGTCGAACTTGGTGGTTTTATTCAATGACAGAATTATAAGAAAATCGTTTGGAGAAGGAAGCACAGCAGTTGAAAAAATTAAATTATGGCTTACAGTCGTAGAGTATTCTGAAGTATTTTGCGAATTGAGTTTCCAAAAATTATGGGGCAAAACAGGCAAATGGTTTATTATTGTAGTAATACAGATTTTTAAGTAAGTGTATTTTAATTTTTATTTAACAATTTTAAGATATGCGACCACCTCAATTTTGTAGTTTTTTTTATGTTATAGAATAAACACAAGTTGGCTTGGTAATGATGTAGTATGTATTTTAGGTGTGTTGCTAGATTCTTGCTGGTACATAAATATAAAGAAGTAATTATCGAAACACCACCAATTCCCCCTTTAGATCGAACAAAAACAACATTAAAAGGTGGCAGTTCTGATTCAAACAATGTGGCTGATTTAAGTTTGTCCACATCGTTTACTTTAAAACACTCGGGACGTGCAATTAGAAAAATAGATGCTTCACCCCCTTTACCTCTAAGGACTTGGAAGGCTTTAGAGCCGGAAATTATAAGACGGGATTTGGGTAATGAATTTAACAGGATTGTGATAAACAGACAGCTCATAGCTGAATATATTTATATAACAAAGCCTCTAGTACATTTAGCTTCGGCGGGGGTTTTTGGAACAAGATCGTGGAAACCATGGATGATTGCTCTTGGATTCGATACAGTTAGGTTAGTATTAGTAAATCTGATATTATATTATAAACACGAAAGTTTGTTTATTAATTTTTATTAATTTTGAAATGTTATTTTTAGTTTATCACTGTACAAGTCGACCCAGAAGCTCTCCTCAGGAAGTTTGACCAAAGCTCAAAAGATACAGTTATCAAAAAGGGTATTACTTTTAATTTTATATCTCCTTCGTTCTCCCTTCTATGAAAAGTGCAGCGAAAATAGAATAAATGCCTTCTTGAACGCCCTAATTAATAATGTACCTCTGGCAAGAATAGTATGTACTCCACTGTTACAGTATTTACCTTTCTGGCAGAACAATTACTTCCATATGTGGTCTACGTAAAATTTAGTTGATTTATTTATAGTTAGATTTAATGTGGAGAAAGAAAATGTGATTTAAGGTCCTCTTGAAAAATTGGGGATTTGTTTATATCAATTTGGGTTAGAGGTTATATTTTAAGTTAAAAAATGTAGAGTATTTCAGATTTAATCCATTATTGTAAACATTTTTACATATATTCTTTTTATTTAGGCTGATAAAAATATATATTTTTATAGGTACTATTTTTGTTTTTATATGTGCCCATATTAACGCCTAGTATGCCCAAATGTGTATTATGGCAGTAATTTAAACAAAGGTAGAAACATGTTTTATATAAATATTTATTGACTCCATTAACAACAAAAAATATAAATTACTTTACAAAAAATACTCTTAAAATAAAAATAACGAAACTGTTTACTTCCTTAAACTAAAAAATATTTATTAATAACAAACATATCACATTCGGTTCACAATCACTGCTAGTACAAAAAATATTTTTCTTGTTCTATATTAACGTCTCTTAAATATATTTGAATTTCTTTCCGTAACAGCAAAATCATTTTTTATTGTATAAACTATTGGTTATGTTTCATTAGTAATATTTGTCGGTAATGTTAATAATCTTAAGTACTAAGCATTTACTGAGAAGAAAAAAAAGGAATGCTTATAACTGACATAACATAATTTTGTGGCAGTCCAAACCAACCAAACCAAACTTTATCAATTATTACCTGTTTGCACTTTTACTTTTTTAATAGAAGGAATGCTAAGAAGAGTTATACAGGATGTCCCAATCTTCCGTAAACATCAAGATTTTTTAAAGTTTGATGCCCTCTAAGGGACAAACGAAGCACTTTTGTATTGAGGTAAATTGTACCGTGTCCAATTATTTACAGTACTTTTATGTCCACGGAATATTGGGACACCCTGTATATGAAATAAATTATTAATAATTAATTTTATTATTCTACCTAGTCTTTATGTATATAGGGTAGGGTTCCCAACTTGAGCATCGGCGATTCCGGGACAATTATTTTTAAGCTTTTAAATCATTGAAGCAAGACATTAAATATTAGAAAATAAAATATATTATGTGTGTAGTACATACATTTTTTTAGTTTCCAGGTCCCGGCCAAGGCAAAACTTTCGCCGGGACAAACTTTCTGATTCCTGGTTAATCCCGGCCAAACCGAGACGGTTGGGAACCCTAATACAGGGTGGTCCGAACTGTATTCCGGAAACTTCGGCAGCATATTCTGCAGATAAAAATAAGTAAAAAAATTCGTATAAATGTATGTCCTAAAATGCTTAGTTTCGGAGATACAGGGTGTGGAAGTTTCATTTTTATTTCGATTGTTTCCATATAATTTCTGAAGTAACGTCAATATTTGAATAAAAATTGGTGTCTGGGAGTTTTTGGTTTTTTGACATGAGAAATTTGATTTTGATGTCAATATGACTTACTTGTAGAGGGCGTCACCTATATATTTTTTAACTGGTTTAAAGAGTAATAATTTTTCGTCCGTACCTGTACAAAACTACTAAGTAAAAAAATATGCATTCACGAAATTTTTATATAAAAAAGACTCTTGGAAAAATCGCTACAAGTAATGGTTCTCGAGATATTTGGAATCTAAATTATCAATACCTGTCATCATTGACATAAATTAAACATGTTGACTAAATAGTTATTAGACTGAAATCATAAATTTGAAATGTTTTGTGCCAAAAGTTAATTATTAATTAATTAAGATTAATTTGAATAAAAAAATAAAACGTTTCCAAATTTATCTTTTTAGTCAAATAACTATCTACACAACATGTTTATTTTTTGTCAATAACATGTATTGACTGTTTCCATTCTAAATATCTTGAGAACGGTTGCTCATAGCGATTTTTACCAAAAGACATTTTTTTCGTAGAAAATTATGAAAATGTATATTTTTTCACTCAGTAGTTTTATACAGGTACGGACGAAAAGTTATTACTCTTCAAAACAGTTAAAATACATGTAGGTGGGGCCCCTTTAAATAGCAGTCATATTGACATCAAAATCAAATTTATCACGTCGAAAAACTCCCAGACACCAATTTTCATCCAAATATTGACGTTACTTCAGAAATTATTTGAAAAAAATCGAAATAAAAATGAAATTTCTACACCCTGTATGATCCGAAACTAAGGGCTCGAACCACAAGCTCGAACACACTGACGACCAGGCCGCTGCTACCTCTAAAACCATTAAATCAAATGATACCGCGCACACTAACGCCCTGGCCGTCCGTTGGTCGTTGCGACCAGTAGACTGCACTAAAATATTATAATTTTTTGCCGCTTGTTGCCGGTTTTCTTCCAAATTAATAATTTTTCAGATGAAATCCCTCAAATTCAAGGCACAATATTTTATTTTCTATAAGATATAGTGTTTTAGTGTAGTTTTTGCACACGTGCAGAAAATCCAAAGAAATAGTGTACAGACTGGATCAAAGGAAAACTTAAATCTAGTCCCTTTTTTATCAAGATTGATTCTAGTAAAAATTCAAAACATTTTTATATGACATACTCTATGGTTGGTATGATACCTGTTATTGTACCTTCGAGTTTCGATGTTAAAAAATAAAAAAATCATATTTAAAGTTTTTCTACAACCACTTGTTTTTTAAAAATAAATTATTTTTTTTAGTTGTATTGTAGTCATGTAGAAGGAGGACAACTGTATTTTAAACATTATATTTAATTTAACGTTTTTCAAACAGGGTCCATTGGACTATATTTCTACTAGGTACTTTATTTAAAAAAAAATAAGAGTAAAAGTAACTTAAACATTCATAAAAATAGAAGTATTTACTGTTGTAGATTCTCAGTAACAATAAAAAAGAGGAATTTATATTGTTAACATTGAAATAACTGGAAGCTAAACTTTCTACCTGCTTATATTTAGAGCCAGTGTCTGACGACCTTTTTTACGATGGCCCTAATATGTTTACTTCTAAAGTCGATAAGAGTCCATCCATCAGTAGAAACAAGAAACAGAATATCTCTCTTTTTGCCGGTCGTGCGTACACAATCCTTGATATTCGGCCTATTTGTTCTGCTTATTCGTGCCCGCTCGGTTCATTCGGGTTAAAATGCCCAAGTCTGGACGCACCTTTAGGAACAATACTGTTTTTGTCCTTTATTGATATAATGCTGAAAATCTCACGAGTTACATGTCTCACTCTATGCATATTAAATTACATAGATTTAGGATGTAGAATATTCTGTTATGAAACGACTGATGGAATAGCAGGCATCGCGGATTTGAAAAACATGGAAATAACGACGTTATCGTATAGTCGGGGTTGGAGATTTTACTTACTCCATTTACCACACCAGTATTTATTAACGAAAAATCCAAGAATATTTTAAATGCATTATTTAATATTAGAACATTTAATAAGCTCATGAATAGCAACTTTTCTGAAACTTAATTCTTTCTGAAACAATATTTTCTAATTGGTAAAACGTAAAAAATCGTTAGATCTGACAACTCTGTTGAAACTGGTCGTTCATCTGGCCGCAGCTATAAACGCAATACATCCGGCCAGCCGACGGCCAGGTCGTTGCGACCTGGTCGTCAATGAGTTAGAGCCCTAAGCATATTAGGACATACATTTATAAGAACTTTTTTACTTATTTTTATCTGCAGAATATGTTGCAGAATTTTCGGAATACAGTTCGTACCACCATGTATAATCTGTCCAACGACATACGGGAATATTTAGACAGATGACATCCAAAAAAAACGTCAGAAAATACTCGTCACTGTCAGAGATCCTCTCGTCAGCCAGACTATAACTATACCTAATGTATATACTTTACGACTTGTGAAATTTAAAAAAAAAGAAAATTCTAGATAAATGTAGATAGTAATATAGCTATTTGTTATGACACGAAGATTGAACTGTGTATTCTTCTAGGGGTATTTCCGTCTCATGGTTGTCGGTTTTGGCTTCTAATGGAGATCGATCGCTTTCCGGTCTCGTATCGTTCGGCGTGAATGTTAACTCGTCTTCCGGTTCTTCCACTTTGCACGTGCCGATCCACTCGCTTTCCGGATCCGAAAAAACGTTTTTGTCGCTGTCCAAAATGTCTTCCAGCGAATATTCCGAGTGCTCTGAAATAAAGAATAAAATATATTATGGTCTGTTTGTGATTTCAAAAAAAAACAGTGTGTTTCAAAAAAACATGTGCCATCTCTCGTTTCTCACGTAAAAATAAGATTTATTTTTCATATCGATATAGGTTCGATTCTGCTTTGTTTCGTAGCTACAGGGTGTTAAAGTCTTAAAATTTTTTCGATTTACAATAATTTTCTTGCAAGTACTTTTAGTGATTCGAATGAAATATTGAGGGTAAAAGTTACTATAAAGGCTACATATTTTAATGCTAGAAAAGAGTCGATAAATTCATCAAGGACGTGCATATGGGTTATCACTGGAACATTTTTTAATATTCACTGGACATTTTTCTGGTATTAAGACATTTAACACCCTGTAGCGACGAAAAAAAGCAGAATCGCACCAATGTCTATATGAAAAATAATCCTTATTTTTAAGTGAGTAATCTCCCCACCAGAGATGGCACATGTTTTTTGAAACACCCTGTAAAAAAGAGAAGTTTATTTCTTATACCATCATCCTGATATTCATCAACTTGGTTATAGTCTGTCCAACTATCATCGAATTCTAAATTTTTGTTGGCGTCTTTCTCATTAGGAGTCTGTAAAACGGACGACTCTTCTTCCGTTACATCGAATATTTCAGTAACTTTAACCTAGAACAAAAAAAAAATAATTCAGTACAGGAAAGAAATCAAAATAAAAAGTAGCTCAATTCACTAGAATCTTGTTTATTTTTCGCCATGTATTACTTAGAGTCCATTTCACTAGTCCGAAAAAGTGGCAAAATAATAAGCGTTCGCCATTTAACGTTTTATGTAAAACTGGCTAGGTATTTTTACACAAATGAAGAAGGAAATTAAAGATAAAGGATTATATTATATCCATATTGTAGTACATTTTTAGACAACTTCTTTATTTTGAAAATTTTGATGGTCAAACATCAACAAAATATTCCTTATGTTTGGACTAAATTTCCTCGAAAATCAAGACATAATGTAAAATTCCGTTACAATACGGAAATAGACTGAAGTTTCGTGATTACACTGATATATAATTTATATGGTTTTGTAACAAATTGCTCGCTATTTTATGGCAAATACTAAAACTCTGCAAACCTTAATCAAGCCTTAATCAAAGCACGTTTGTTTGGAATTTTGGGCGTGGCTTAACACGACAGGATCGGGCTAAGCCTTAGGCAGTTTTCTGAAATATAATATATATTTCCTTCGGCCACACACCCGCTTTTACCCGACCCCTGAGAGCGACCCGAACAGTACAGCCTAATATAGGCTCTTAAGGATTTAGCAATATATTAGGTAAAGTGTCTTGCTTGGAAGTACCTTATTGTTTTCGTCCAAGTAATAATACGCCATGATGGCGTCGTGCTGCGATGTGACTTGCAAGATGTGGTCGAAAGTGTCATCGTCCATCGTGTCCGTCTTGTTGACCGTAAAGCTTGGTTTACGCTGCAAGATTTGCCTGGTGTTGAACTTCCTTTGGGGATTCTGATCCAAAGGTAAATCGCTATAAATAAAACACGGCGATAACAAAATATTTCGCATATTACATCGAACTGAACAAAATCTATCAAATACAATTTAGTGCTGCTTTTTTTAATTGCAAAATATATATATATATATATTGTTTGTCATTATATCATTCTTAAAATCTATAATGTCTAACTTGAAAAAAATAGAGAATTTGGCATTTCAGACTTTGAGATATTTATGCGGTTTACTTACCAATCATCTAGGTCAAGTGTAAAGTTAAGATTCATCTTATTTTCTAGTAGATTTTCATCAACTTCTTCTTTACCTGTAAAATATAAACAAAATTAGTATTTTTTTTTCAAAAATGGTAACCAGATAAGGTACGTCCATAGTGCACCAGCTTCCCCCCAGTTTTATCAGTTTAATATGAACATATTAAACAATATAAAGACAATAGATCCCCACGGGATAGTTCCATGATGCCGAATGACATTCCCGCTTCCTGCAAGCGGTTGTTAATGACTACTGCCTACTTCAATGGCGCAGGTTCACAAAGCGATATGAAAACGGGAAGCCGGTGCGCTATGAACGTACATACATGTAGACTACGCTACTTACTGCCTCCATATTCCGTAATAGCTAACTGACAGGTTATTTTAGCACTCAGTTGTTGTCTCTTCTTGTTGACCCTCGACAGTATATTTGACATTTGATCAAGGACTACTTTACTGACATCCCAAAGGGTATTCCCTACTTGCGGTGCTGTGGCCATTAATCTATCAAATTGAGAAATATAATGATTACCAGTTTTACAAATTTACATTTTGATCGAATAAAACTAGAATAATTAAATATATCTATTTTTTAAATTTATAATTTTTTTTGTACAGTAAACAACTCATTAAGAAACTCGACGTTAGTGTTTAAGTTTTATACACCAGTAGCACAGAATATCTAGCTTGTGTATACAGGGTGGTCCGAACTGTATTCCGGAAACTTCGGCAGCATATTCTGCAGATAAAAATAAGTAAACAAATTCGTATAAATGTATGTTTTAAAATGCTTAGTTTCAGGAATACAGGGTGTAGAAGTTTGGTTTGCAAAAAAATTGAAATAAAAATGAAACTTCTACATCCTGTACCAAAACTACTTCTTACCTAAACCCCCTACTACTCCTACACCAAATCTGAGCATTTTAGACATACATTTATACGCACTTTTTACTTATTTTTATCTGCAGAATAATATGCTGCCGAAGTTTCCGGAATACAGTTCGGACCACCCTGTATATTCTGTGCCAGTAGACTTTGGATGAAGAGAGATAAGTAAATTTAAATAAAACGCTTAGAGTGGTGTAAAGTCCTAGAGCTAATTATTTATTGAGAAAAAAAAATAATTTAATAAATGTTTTAACCAATTACTGTATTTATTTCTCAACTTTAATTAAAACATGTTCCTATATAACTATTTTTTTTCTATCGTACAGTATTTGAAAGCATACAAGGGACATCAAAAGGTACACGGTACAACAGCACATTTAACAGGTTATTAGTAAATCATTAAAGAATGAAAAAAGTTAGTCACCTTCCATGCCCCATTGACGGTGGATTCTGAACGCATGCATTATTAGTATGGGGCAGAACAAGAGCTTGGCATGGTTTGTAATCAAATGAAAATGTTTCAAACTGATTTCCAATGGACGTTATCAATTGAAAATTGGTGATGTTATGTAGAACGAGTCTACGGGTCAATTTTGGAACGACGGGTTTTAAAAGGCGCAACCTAAAAGTGTGGTATAAATATAAAATAAATAATTTATTAATTATGTTTTGTTTATTGTAAAATATCACTAGGTTTAGAATCCGGCGGAAATCAGCTCTCTACTGTGCTGGATTCGTATACAGGATATCCCAGAAATAAGTGCAAGTATTTTAACTGGTAGTATAGTTCGACCCTGAAACACGCCCATGAAGTTTTTTTTTGCGAAAAAAAATGTTCAAAATTTTATGTTTTTCTTGACAAGTGCCATGGGCAATAAGAATTTAGGTACCTTTACCTATTTTACAGATTTTTAAATAAATAAGGAAGAGACAATTATTACCAAATAATATGTTGTTGTTTTCAGAAAAAAATATATGTTTACTTTAGATAATAGAGGGCAAACTTGGTTTAACCATTTTATATATTAAAAAAAATTGGCATAATTCTATTATCTAAAAATTCAGGAAGGTCAACAATCGAGATTAGAAGACTGCGAATCTGTCGAAAAGAAAGTAGGAAAACAGATAAATTACGTAGGTATTATTATTTATACAAAATATTTATATCTATTTATAGATAAGTTTTGCCATAACAAATAATAAAATAAAAATAATAAAAACTAAAACAAAACAAAGATAAAATAAAAAAGCACTCCTTAACTGCTGAATTTTCTTTTTCATCCTACTTTTTTATGTATCTATTGCTACTTTGAATGTGGTAGACAACGATTCAGTATTGAGACAAAGAGAATTTCGGACTTCCATTATCTTTATTTATTTTTGCTTACACAACGTTTCGTTCATCACTTCTAATTTTTAAAATTTAAGCGAAAAATAATTTTTTTTAAGTAAAATATCTCGGTTATTTTGGACTTACTTGGAAAACGGCAAAGAGAAAATATTTTTCTTTTATCGAGATCTACCAGCCCTGAACATATTTAAGACTCGTCTTGTATATAATCCATTGTGAAGAACAAAAAATAATATTACTAACGCTAAGAACTTTCTCTTACAACTTACTTTGTAAACGTGGCATACATGATATCCGCCGGTAATGTGTAAGGCAAACTTAGAACCGATAAAAGCTTCATGCCCCTGTGTTTGAACAGCCAACTTGAAACGCCTTTGTTAGCTGTATCAATGACTTCTTGAAATACGTTCAGTACGGTGTCTGGAACGTTGGACACTAAAGCTTCCTGTAAAATTAAGAAGTTTAATTAGAAAATTTTGTTTTACTATATTCAGTATCTTATTAATTATAGTCTAGCACAATGAGAGACTAAGAGAGTACATGAGAATGACAGTTTTATGTTATGTCTGACATTTTAATGCACATGTAAATATAATTAAACAAACTTAAAATTAACTTCTCACTGAACACACTGGCATCTTTGGCTATATAAAAGAGGTCGAAAAACGAGTAATTAATACAATTTTTAAAATAAAAAACGTGTAAAACAAGCGTCATTACACAATGGAAATAAGATTATGACAAGATGTTTCCATAACAATGTATAATTTGTACTTTCTAAACCGTATAAAATTGTGATTATTTTGGAAATAAGTGCAACTTTTAATGCGCATGCGCAAAGTAAGTTCCTTGGAAGAAACAAACCTATTGAACGTTTCATAAGTGCAATAAAGAAGGTTTGAAAATGGCATGTCGTGAGTCGTGAGTCGTGATGTCGGAGACATATTTTTTAATGCTAAACTTATGGCGTTGATTATCCACGTAAGTATATATGATCTAGGCTTAAAACAATTAAATATACTTAAAAATGGCCTTGAAAAAATGATCAATAGATCTGATCTCGACGATACTTTTAATATTATATCTATTAATCATGTTTTTCAAACACTAGCTTGACAAAGCAAACAAAGACATATTTCTTAAAGAAAACAGTATTTATTGGATAACGATGACGCACAGCATAGTTTTAAACGAATAACTAGTATAATTAGTATACTTTTCACGGTTGAAAGACACAAATAATAAGTAATATAAATTAGTGTGTAATTTATCTTTTTGCGATGTGCGTTAGATCATCGTCTATTTAAAAAAAATATATAATTATTGAGACAAAGACTGAGCAACAAAATTCAAAGATACATAATAAATAAAGTCTAAGGTTCACTTTAGTAAAAACGACAGGTTCGCGATAACAATAATACGAGATGATTTGTTGCCATGCTACTACTTGGGTATATCTATTATATTATTCGCTAATTATTTGGCATAACTAATTGTATTCTAAATTATAGAAAACTGGTCTGCTATTCAACCTTATTTTACAAAAAACGTGTCTATTGAGTGGAATCATTGTCAAGTCTTTACCTAATTTTAATAGAATAACATACTTAATAATCCCATGTTAGGATGCAAATATCCCAAAACTCGCCTTATCCGAATTATTTTTGTGTTTTTTATTTTTAAACATTAAATATTAATTTTTATTTCTAGAAAAAGGAGATACAATTCCTTTTTCTAGAAATAAAAATTAATATTTAATGATTAAAAATAAAAAACACAAAAATAATTCGGATAAGGCGAGTTTTGGGATATTTGCATCCTAACATGGGATTATTAAGTATGTTATTCTATTAAAATTAGGTAAAGACTTGAAATGGATAAGACTTCAGTAGTAATATTATACTTGCGTAAAAATCCTATGAAAAAATGCGGGATTTTGCAACAATCATGACAATAAAAAGCAAGCACAAGTGAATAAGACGGATTTTGTTGTAATAACGTAATTTGTAGTGAATTTTATATAGTAATGGCGACTTTTGCTGCAGTTTGTGACTATGTTTATGTAGATTTTAAACTCGACTAGTAATATATGTCATTAGGTCATTTTTTAATGGATAAGGCGGGTTCTGCAACTTGACGCCTAAATTATATACAAAAGGTGGCATGTAACCATAGCATGTAACCTTATTTATTAGTTCCTATATTTAAATCAATAGGTAGAAATATAGATCATACCAAATAAACTAAAATAAATAATTAAAAATAAACTACGTCAATGAATTTAAAAATCGCGCCCTCGAAGTAACTGAAAGTTTAATTGGTATCGCCTATATGAGCGGTGTGTGAACTGGACCAAGTCCTAGAAGATAATTATAGAGAAAATGACAGTTAATTGACATAAAGCTTTATTATACTATAAATTGTATAAATGCAAACTAAAGTAACTCAAAATACAACTGTGGTCATTTTTAAGAATACTTGTTTATACTTTTTTGGGCTTGAACCATTTTATCTCCGAAAATATTTTAAATTTTAGGTATAAATTGGTTCATCGGTACATCCTTTTTTATTATAAGGGATTTTTTGATTTCGCGTTGTCTATTAATAGTGAATAGTAAAAATTCTATCAAAAAAAAATATTTTTTAGCTCTAAACTTTAAATCGCGCACAGCGTTAAATTTTATAGACTTGATCTAGTTCACTTCTGAAAGAAATCAACAGAATATTCAGAAACCAAACAGAAACAGGCTATAGCTGCTTTATGCGTGAAGTATGACTTGATTCATTTCTCTAATGGAAAAAACAATATGTTATAAAATTGGACTTGATCCATTTTAATTCTGACCACTCCATATGACAGGTGTTTACCTGTCTGTGTATCTTGCAGTCTTTACACTGGGGATCGTAAACTAATTGTTCTTCTAACGTGTCCGACACGACAAACGTGGACTGAACTGCCAAACACTTGGTGCAATTTATTAAATTATTCCTGTGCAAAAACCTGAGGGCGTCGTCAAAACCTTGCTTGCACATGTTGGCTAGGGTTTCTGGAGGAGGGGGGAACAGTATCCTTACCATTCTATAGATGTTATGTTTCGATAGTTCTATACTTGTGTTCGCCAAGTTAATCTAGAAAGAAAGAAATACTAGCTTAAGGTAAGTTCACAAAGAATTTTAATAATGCTTACGTGAAACAACTGGGAGCTGTCATCGCGTGGGCAAATATCAGTTTCGCCACAAAAAGGACTAACGGTGATTGTGTGTTCGTCTAGTGTTGGTAAGTTGTCGCTGTAGCCTCCATCCATATATCTGACGCCCTTGAACTTGGGTGGAAACAATCCCGAAAAAACGGGAATAAATGCGGAAGCTAGGAGGGCTTGAATTAGTTCGTCTCTGGAGTCGAACTGGGATACCATAACATTTTTTCCTGAAAAAAACATTACTTATGATTTTTTTTGACGTCTGTATCCAAAATGCTATAACACGCATTGTACATTTCCGTATATTGTAACGGAATTTTAAATTATGTCTTTATTTTTGTGAAAATTTAGTCCAAACATAAGGAATATTTTGTTGATGTTTGACCATCAAAATCTTAAAAATAAAAAATACGGATATAGTGTAATCCTTTATCTTTAATTTATTTCTTCATTTGTGTAAAAATACCTAGCCAGTTTTACATAAAACGTTAAACGCCGAACGCTTATTTTGCTCCCTTTTCGGACTAGTGAAATCGACACTTATGGGCAAGTTAATTTAAAAATACCGTATGATCGAAAAAAAACGGCGTCCAGTTGGCTGGGAAATGACGATCGATGACATTTCCCATATAAATTTACATATAAAATGACAGCGATCTTCATTTCATAGCCATCGCTGACGCCGTTTTTATTCGATCATACGGTATAATATCCTAAGAGATAATATTAGATACATACACATAATAGTTTAAAACAAGTTAAGTGACCCGATGAGTCGATAAGTTTTTGATAATCTATAAAAATACGTTTAATTTTCTTTGAATACAAATAATATGTTAACGTCAATAAATATGTGGTTGATGCAGAAAATAACAACAATATCTGATCAATAAATAATGTCTTTTCATGTTTAGAAACAGAAAAACTTATGTTTTATAAATCTAGTTAATGCCACTCATACATAATATTTTGTTTGTTATAAGCCGCTTCGAGTGAACTATTTATAATCATTGTATAATTACCCTTATTAATTGATGTATGCAATTACAAATTATTTAAAAGATATATATGATACGATGATAAGAGAATGTATTTATATGGAATATCAAAAAACGTCAGTCACTCATATATAGGCTTAAATAGTTATGATGTTAAGGTTTTAATGTTTATTTATATTACCAGAATAGAAGGATATCCTTCAATATGAGGAATTTTATAGTCAAATTTCCTCGATTAGAGGGCTGAAGGAGTTTTAAGACAATGGTGTGAAGGTTTCTGGCAGTTTTGCACAATAAAAATTGTTAAGATATGTAGTAGAGTTATTTATTGTTTTTCCTACATCTATTTTTTCACTATAACGGTGTTTAATTAAGGATGCCTCAATTCAAACCAATGATGATGTCAAAAAGTCCTCAATTCGAAAGACTTCAACTTCAAAGTTCTCGATGTTGAAAAGAAATAAATAGGTAAACGGAAAATATGTCTAATAAGTCAGCCGATCATGGCGTCTTGCACGATTAACTATTCGTTCAGGCGGTCATTGTTAGCAATAAATTTTTTGAAACATACTTTATAATACTGTTGTCAAGTATCTGTCACAGTATTTTCGATCGTGTTATTAAAAAAAAATTATCAGAAATAAGTTTTTAAAAATATTCTTTTACATATAAAAAGGTAAAATACACAAAATTTGGTGATTTTTCACAAGATCTGGAGTTTTTTCTGGAGTTGAGGTCAATATAAAAACTGCTATAAAGGGTCGAATTTAATTCCAAAAGGAGAATATTAGCTACCCATACACGGAAAGGCCCGGCCTATTGAAATATGTAATTGTGTTTACTTACCGTCCCGTACTCTTGTGAGGGAAATGTGTAATTTCCCACTGACTCTGATGTGAGCGTCATCTGGTAGAAATCTTTCTAACCCTTCCAACAGTAGCTGGTGAATGTTGAACGAAGGGTTGAAAGGCCCTAACGATTTTTTTCTAGCCTCTGTTGCCACTCTAAGAACATCGCTTGTGGTTTCACCTAAAACAACGAAACATATATTATTTATTTTATTTTTTTTGAAGTGAAACTTAACTGAAGAACTTTTTAAAGTGAACATGCACTATGATGGAATATGATAAAAAACGGCGCCAGCGATGGCTATGAAACTAAGATCGCTGTCATTTTATATGTAAAATTATATGGAGAATGCAACGATCGTCATTTCCAAGCCAAACGGACGCCATTTTTTTAATCAAACGGTATGTGTAATTTGACAAAATCCAAAGTTCAAAAAGTACCAGTACCAGTAAAAGTTTACCTATACTATACTTTTTGAACTGGTATTAATAAAAACAAATCTAAATGCCGGGTCCAGACCAGACCAAGCAGACAAAACAACGACAAGACAGAAACATTTATGTTTTACGACAAAATTGCGACAAATCCAATACATTTCTGCGAAATTTTTGTCTCATTTTTGGTTTGGTCTCATTTTTTTAATCATACGGTATGTGTAATTTGACAAAATCCAAAGTTCAAAAAGTACCAGTACCAGTAAAAGTTTACCTATACTATACTTTTTGAACTGGTATTAATAAAAACAAATCTAAATGCCGGGTCCAGACCAGACCAAGCAGACAAAACAACGACAAGACAGAAACATTTATGTTTTACGACAAAATTGCGACAAATCCAATACATTTCTGCGAAATTTTTGTCTCATTTTTGTTTTATTTCAAAATTCAGAGGCTTTTCAATGGCCCATCTCGAGTCGGTAAAGATCAAAGTGTCTATGTTTTGTTCGTATATTTTACAAGTTGTCGGTGCAGTGTGGATGGTTTGCTTTGGTTTGACCAGTGAAATCACACATGGTTAATAAAACAAAAATATTCTTTGATAATACTCATTCGCAACAACTAAACTTTTGAATTTGTTGTACTTTTGTCCTTGTGGTGTGGACAATTTGTCTCAAGTTTGTCTTGTTTTTGTATCAAAATTGTGTTTACTTTTTGTCGCCTTGGTCTGAAACCGGCATAAGAATAATCTAACTTGACTAATATTTAAAACCTTGTCTAACATGACTCTCATTACTTATCGTCTTCGTAATATTTAAAGCAAAGTAAATAGTAAAAAGTTATGTGAAGGACTAATCTTTTTGTTTGACTTTTGCAAAGAAACTTTGTTGTCTTTTGTTTCTATTCCCAGGCTTATCATAGAGTTAACGAACTATTATGTATGATAGCTTATCCTAATTTGATTAGTTTACATACTATTGAAATAAATAGGTTGAATTGATACATATGATAATCGTTAATTACATTCCAGAAATTTAAGTGATATATTTATTTTGAAAAACTTCGGTTTGAATAAGATAAAAAATTAGAGTAAGAATATGAAAAAAGGTAATTTATAAATAATAAAGAACTTTCATAATAATGTCTAGTAAATTCTAGTAAAAGAAAATTGCATGACTTCACTGCACAAGGAAGGAAGATAATTACTATTATTTTTAAATATTCCCAACAATAACTATTAGAATACAACGTTTATTTGTTTAATAATATAAGGTTTATTGTTAAAGTTTTCTGCAACAATTAAGATAAATTAAATATAGATTTATTAATTCGTGGAATTTACCTATTCTATGGATAAGTAATTGGAATTGTTATTAAAATTTCAGACATTATGGAATCATCCTAATTAATAAAGATTTTATTATCGTTCTTAACAAAATTCGCGGAATATTTAGAATAAAGACGGCGAATTAAAAATATTTTGATAAAATAGTTTAAATGATTTACAAACAAAAATAACAAAACGTATGAAGAGAATTCTGAATTGATTAAAACTCTCTCATGTTTATTTGTATATTATTAATGAGATCATATTTTTATAGTTTATATAAAAAAAATATTCGCAGGTAGATAATTTGGTACCAAGTTCAAATTAATGATCTACAACGCAGATAAAATGTAGTGAGAAGCAAAGTTCATGAAACGCAAAAAAACAAATTTTAATAACATGATATATTCCCGTATAGTGAGTCATTACGCCTAATAAATACCCACTCTAAACACCGCATACGATCGGAAAAAAAAAATATATATATAAACGGGATTTTGGTTTTTTTTTAAGTATTTAATACTCATTTCCAACTACAGCCTATTGCTGCCTTCCCGTTACCCTACGCCACACATCTCGATTTAGAGCGTCATCAGCTTCTAGGTTACGAACTGTCTGGGTTTTGGCTTTGCTACTGGGCAATTGCCAAGGTTACGAGCTTCCATTACTTCCGTAACCGTTCCGTTCCAGGATTTTCTAGGTCTACCTCTCTTTCTTCTGCCCTGGGGAGCCCATTGAAAAACTCTTTTTGGCCACCTGTTCTCTGGTATAAGCAGAACATGTCCAAACCATTTTAAGCTGGATTTTTCGATTCGATCCAGTACTGTCTCCTCCGATGCATTCATGATACGCCTGACCTCGATGTTTGTCTTTTTTTTTCCATCCTAGATATACCTGCACTTCTTCTAAGGTAGTCCATTTCAACAACTTGGATTTTGCGCTTCGCGTCTGCACTCAGAGTCCACAGCTCTGAACCATAGCAAAGAACTGACTCCACCAATGTTCTTCCAAGTCTCTTTTTAGTTGTTGCAAACAAGTTTCGGTCCCATCAGAGGCTGTTAAGACATCCAATAACTTGTTTGCTCTTCTGAATTCGGGTTTGTATTTCTACTTTGCCCAAACCCTCGTTGTTGATAGTAGCACCCAGGTATTTAAATTTGTCTACTTGTTGAATCTGGACGTTATCATTAATGAAGACTTCAAAACAAGCGTTGGAATTGACAGCTAAGTATTCGGTCTTCTTTAGACTAACCTGAAGTCCCCATTTGTTGTATTCTTGATAAAGCCTCTTAGTCATGAACTCTAGATCGTAAAACGATCGAAAAAAAAACGGCGTCAAAGACGGCTGGGGAATGACAATCGATGATAATTTTGGCGAGGTCAAGCCCTAGGCGTCATTTGCTTGGTCCGTGTATGTATTGTTAGACTATAACTTTCTTTATAGAAGAAAATTTGTCTGTTGAAGAACAATGATGGACCAGATATTATCAGTTTTTCAATATAGTTATTTAATGCTCATAGTGCTCATATGCTCATAGAGTAAAAAGATTCGAAAGTAATGTGATTTAGCTGCAGATAAATTAACACAAAAAGTTTTGATACACAAAAATAAAGGAAGCACAAATGCTGATATGAAGACAGGCTATAGATTTGGTAAACTTTGGTTGTTGTATTGACAAATAACGATTACTGGTCCGTGACCACAGACAAAAATTGAAAACAACTGCGAACAATCTAAAATTGTTTGTTATTTTTTCATTATGTTGTTATTGTATATTGTTTATTAAAACTTGTTTAGATCACAGCTACTTTAAAATTTAAATGGAAATAAAAACTGTTTTTAGTTAGTATTAATTTTACGTCCTCCACCTTTTTAGCCATTACTTATTGTATTTGATAATTATTTTTCTGATATTATGTGTACTTCATATACCCTATACGTCCATACTAGTTTTGTTAACAGTTAAGTTAAGAAAAACATGTGGCACGGCACTGTTTGGAGGTATGGTAACAATTAATTGGTCCTTGTATTCTTTAATCATTGGTTTAATATCATTGAATTATTTTTTAAAATATACAGTCTTCATAGTTTAACGAAAACAAATTTAGAAACGTCAAATATTTAACTTAGAACTCGTCTCTGAATAATGTTAAACAAATAGGGTTAATAAGGTTTTGTATGCTAAGTGTAAATAAAAAAAAATTGTAAATAACTTGGATGACTCTAACGGAATCCCTCCTAACATCATTTTATGAAAAATCTAACCAGTGTCCATTATTATTAAGTTAAGTTCAGACCTAATAGCCTGAATAATTATTTACTGAGTACTGAAAATATTGGACATGATTATTTGTGCAATGCGTTAGTACTTGAATCGAATTATGAGTAAATGCATTTCCAATATTCATTGTATTTAATGTATAAATTTAATGGCTCAAAAAAGTTCCTAAATTTATTTTTTGTGAATGATGACACGGTATTGATAATTTACATTCCAAATAGTTTGATAATGTGTACTCGTATCGATTTTTATCAGGAGGCCTATTTTAGATTACAGTTGGGTGTTGGAACCTTTGGTGTTACAACGGCAAACTAATTATATTTTACTGGCCTTTTTTACGTAAAAACGGCGGAAATTTATATTTTTCATTCTGTACTTTCAAACAGGTATGGAAGAAACGATATTATTCTTCAAACCAGTCAAAAAATATGCGAGTTGCATCTCCTACAATTCAGGAGTCATGTTGACATCGAATTCAAATTTCAGGCCAGAAATTTTCATCCAAATATCGACTATAATTCAGAAATTATTTGGAAAAATCCGAAATAAAAATGAAACTTCTACAACCTGCATCTCCGAAATTAAGCATTTTAGGACATATATTTCTATAAACTTTTATACTTATTTTTATCTGCTGAATATGCTGCCGAAGGTTCCCGAATACAATTCGGACCACCCTCTATAACGGATATCTTGCGCTCGTTTCATTTTAAAACAAGATACGTTATACAGGATGTCCCAGAAATAAGTGCAAGTATTTTAACTGGTAGTATAGTTCAACCCCAGAAACACGTCTAGGTTTTTCTTTCGCGAAAAAACATTTTTGAAAATTTGAAATTTTTTGAAAAATTTTTTTGATTTTTTTAGTTTTTAGTTAAAAAAAATAATTTCTTGATAATATGGCAACATAGGTATTAGATTAAATTTACAAGAAAGAAAATCCAGTGGTTCATTTCCAAAAAATCATTTTTAATGGAAATTTTCAAAGTAAAATAACATCGTTATTTTGGACTTATTTGAAAAACGATAAAGAGAAAATAATATGCTTCTTTTATCGAGATCTGCCACCCCTTAAAATACTTGCACTTATTTCTGGGACACCCTGTATATTCCAAGTAGGTATTCAATCTAAGGTAAAACTATTAAATGGAAAAAGCAATACTACCTAATGGCAAATCCAATAGTAAGCAACAGGCGGCTATAGCTCCGAACGATGCTCCGGAAATTTTGTCCAGAAGTAAATGGGGCGCGTATTTTCGAAAACAGCAAGCCACCCCGACGTGGTACATGCCCAAAAAGCCGCAACCGGCGAAGGACAGGTTCATTTTTATAGCGCCTTGTCCGAAAATACTTCAATGTTGCGTTTGCACAAATTATTTCACAAATATCGCTTTGGAGTTGTCGCGCTTGTAATGAGATAAAAATACGCGCTTCGCCACTTGTTTCGAGTGTGACGTTCGAACGGAGACTAAATTAAATTCATTTTAAAATGAATGACGAGATCGCGACTTTTATCGGTACTGCATTTGTCGTATACGCTAATCCAGTGGGTAGTATGTATACTAATATATAAAATCCTTAAGCGACTGACATACTGATTCATCACGATCCTGCTCAAACCACTCAACGTAAGAAGCTCAATTTTGGCATACAGGTTGATTCTAGGGTGTAGAGGTTCGATAAGAAGGGATTTTTCGAAATTCCAGTTCCAAGAGGGTGAAACCACCCCTCAAATATTACAATATTTTTATTTAAAAAACGGTCAAGTTTCCGAAAAAACGCTTAAACACGTATATTTTATTTTGTTTTTTACATATTTTAAGATTTTTAAAAATGTATACAGGGTGTTTCGAAAAATCTGGTCATTGATTAATCACGATCCTGCTTAAAGCGCTTGACATAAAAATCTGATTTTTGGAAAACAGATTGACTTTAGGGTGTAGAGGTTCGATAAGAAGGGATTTTTCGAAACTCGAATTCTAAGGGGGTGAAACTATCCCCCAAATATTAAAATATTTTTTATTTAAACCGGTGAGTTTTTCGGAAAAACTCTTAAACACGTATATTTTATTTTGTTGTTTTACATATTTTAAGATTTTTTATAAATTTATTCATAAAATATGACCATTGAGTAATCATGATTCTGCTTAAACTGCTTGACGTTTAAAGCTTTTGGCAAACGGATTGACTGTGGGGTGTAGAGGTTCGATAAGGAGAGGTTTCTCGAATCTTAAATTCCAAGAGGGTGAAAACGTCCCTCAAATATTACAATATTTGCTATTTAAAAAAACGGTTAGTCTTTCGGGAAAACGCTTGGACAAGCATAATTTATTTGGTTTTTTTACATATTTTGAAATTTTTTAAAAAATCATACAGGTTGTTCCAAAAAGTTGGATAATTTTTTAACCACGATTCTGCTTAAACTGCTTGACGTAAAAAGCTTATTTTTGGCAATACATACATACATACATACATACAGCCGTTACTCGCTGACGAGTATTCGACACACATAAAGAAAATGGTCATGCAAGGCGTTTTCTTTCATGAGCTTTTCTGTGACTGAAAAGCCCGATACGTGATGTTATCTGCCTACCGCACTCCGGACATTCAAAAATCTCATTGCTTTGTTGCCTCTCTACTTTTTGGTTGCCGCTGTTAACTGAGTTTACAACCCTTCTCCATTGAGTTCTATTGTGAGCTGCTTTTTCCCACTCATTCTGCATGTTAATTCCCTTTAAATTTTCGTGGAAAATGTCCTTGTATCTTTTCAGTTGTCCACCCGGCCTCCTCTTACCGTCCACAAGCTCACCGTAAAGCAGAGATTTTGGTATGCGGTTTTCTTGCATTCTGCATACGTGACCAGCCCATCTTAAGCGGGATTTTGTGACCATGACTTCAATACTCTCGCAGTTAGATTTTTCAAGGACCGATACGTTTGAGACATGATGGAACCACCGGACTCTTAAGAGTTGTCTAAGGTGTCTCTGTTGCAACTTGTTCAATGCGTTCATGTGTCGGCGGTAAGGCACCCAGGTTTCGCTCCCATATATCATGGTGGGGATTATAATTGCTCGGTATACTGCAAGTTTTGTTTTTGTACTCAAGTCATGATTGTAGAAAACCCTGTCTTTTAATTTCCAGAATGCTCTTGAGGCGCTACTAATCCTGTGCTGAATTTCAGAGTCAATATTGGCCTTTTCCGAAATCAAACTGCCAAGGTAATTGAATTCCGCCACATATTCGAATAGTTCTTCTCCGATTTTTATAGCATTGTTGTGATCTTCCGGGGGAGTGCACATGATTTTAGTTTTGCCGATGTTCAGCTTAAGGCCCAAAGCCTCGTATGCCCAGGTATATGTGTTCAACATTTCTTGTAATTGTTGTACCGTGTTTGCAACTAGAGCGCAGTCGTCAGCGTATTGAAGTTCTGTGATAAATTTTGTACGTGTTTTTGCCCTGAGTCTTTTTATGTTGAACAGACGCCGTCATATCTGTATCTAATGCCTAATCCTCTCTCCTGCAGTTTGCTGTCCACTATAATGGAGAGCGCTGCCATGAATATGTTGAATAGGAGGCGCTAAGACACATCCTGCCTAACTCCTGTATTTGTTAGGAATGGGTCGCTCAGTGATCCATGATGTGACACTCTTGACTTGTTGTTGTTATGGAGGCTTTTACACACTGTAAGAAATTTGTTGGGTACACCGAACTTTTCCATAATTGCCCAAAGCGCATCTCTGTTCACAGAGTCGAAGGCTTTTGTTAGATCGATGAATGCAACATAAAGTTTAGACTGCTGCTCTTTTACTTATTTACTTATTACTTATTTTTGGCAAACGGCTTTTTCGAAAGTCAAATTCCAACGAGATGAAACTACCCCTCAAATATTACCAAGTTATATAATAATATCGCCATATTGTTTTTTCTCATGCTGACATAAATGTGAGAAAATTTTATCCAGTTTGTGTGTTAATGGAAATTCTTGCTTTGCTTTATCATCACCTTTACAACTGATTAATTCGACGCGAACGAAGTCGCTGGTACACGCTAGTTTTTATATAAAACACGGAATATTTAAAATATACAGAAAATAATTTCGTTTTTATATACTTTGAATAAACAAAATTAGCTAAAGGGTTCTTTACTTCACAAGGAAAATGCGGAACTCTTATAGTAACACTTTTCTCTGTTCGTCCGTCTGTCTAAGTCTGTCTAAAAAAAAATTTCTACGCACTTTTTTCACTAAACAAAAATATAAGTTAGTTAAAACAGAAGATATTAGAAAAAAAATGAGTTTTTATTTTTTTTTCATATTGTTCCACCACTTCAAAAAATTCTAAAAAAATCCTGAGTGTATAATAGACATTCCCTGACGATTTTTAGTAAATTTTCTAAAAATCGGCTTTTCGTTTAAGAATCATGATCATATGTACAGGGTGGCGCCTCTCATACGCCGCGGAGGCTCCAAGGAGAACGACAGTTTGCATTGAAATGAAATTTTGTGAGCATATGTAGTTTACTTCAGAGCACTTTTTCAAAATATAGAGAGTTCTACAGGGTGTCCCCAAAAAAAGTTACATATCAAAGTTGTGTTTTTCGTAATGGAACACCTTATATATTAATTGATTTTCGGATTCTGGGAGAAAAATAAATGTGAGTTTTATAAGAGAAGTATATGACTAAAATATAAGGTTTTTGAGATATTTAACATTTCTAAAAATAAAGAACAATTATTAAATTACAATAAAAGCTACCTAGATTGGAATTTAGCCGGTATAGCCTAATACGTAGTTAAACTAACTATTGTACTTTAAATCAAATTAAAACTTGATACAAAAAGTTATACAGGGTGAGACAAAATTAATATTGAACATTGGTCACCTTTAAAAGCATGTTACTCGTTTATTTTAAATAGAACACCCAGTATATTATTCCGATATTCAATGGAGAATTCATGTGTCTTCAAAATACTATTAAGGTTGCCTACCCCTCAAACCAAGATTTTGGTTTGGGCTTTATTATTTGATAAAAGGTGGCTGGTGTTATGTTTGACGTTACTTCAACATAACTGTCTAATTAGTCCAACTATAACAACTAGTTATCACTTTGTATCAGTTAAGATAAAAAAATATCTCAGAAATTTGCCGAAAATGCAAACTTATCCTACATCAGCGAGAACTGACATGCTTTTATTAATAGAATACTTAAATGCTCCTGATTTTATCTAGTCTGGATTTTTTTTATGGGGATATGTTAAAGACAGTGTTTACAAAACTCGACCAACTATTGTCGACAACATGAGAGAAATTATTGTAGCTGCTTCAGGTAGAACTCCACATATGGCTTTTAAAATGAAAATATCCTTTTGACAAGACAATAATTTTATGCAGTTAACAGGAAAGGAAGCATTTTGAGCATTTGATTTCATCTAGCTAATTTTGTCACATAATTATAGGTTTATATCTAGTTACTCTACATTATTTAATTTTTGTTAAATTAACAAAAGGTATATCACAGCCAAATAGATTTTTTCAAATGATAAAGGCCTACTGACGCAAAATCATAAAAATTAAAATATGTAGGAAAATCTTTGTCTGGGGGTAGACAACCTTAATAATATTTTAAAGATATATAAATTCCCCATTGAACACCGGAATAATATACTGGGTGTTCCATTTAAAATAAAGGAGTAACTTGCTTTTAAAAGTGACTAATGTTCCATATTAATTTTGTCTCACCCTGTATAACTTTTCGGGTCAAATTTCAATTTGGTTTAACACACAATGTTTACCATAATTAAATATCAGGCTATACAAGGTCAACTAAAATTTAGTTAGCTGTTAGCGAAATTTATAATTTACTCTTCATTTTCACAAAATGTGAAATATGTCAAAATCCAAAGGTTTTAGGTATATGCTTCTTTAATAAAACTCACCTTTATTTTTTTCCTAGAATCCGAAAATCAATTAATATATAGGGTGTTCCATTAGAAAAAACAAAACTTTGATGTGTAACTTTTTTTGGAGACACCCTGTATAATTCTATATATTTTTATAAAATGCTTTCAGATAACTACATATGTTGCCAAAATTTCATTTCGATATAATCTACCGTTCTTCTTGGAGCTTCCGCGGCGTATGAGAGGCGCCACCCTGTATTGTATTATTGGCCGACCATACCAATAGGTATGGTAGGCTATTAAGATCGGCAAAAAAAATTTTTTTTAATTTCACTCAAAATGAGTTATTTGGGTCATAAATGACCTAAATACAAAATATTTTCATGGTGTCTGTCTGTCTGTCCGTCTGTCCGTCTGTCCATCTGTCCGTCTGTCTGACCGTCTCCACTCAAAAACCGCTGAACCGATTTTCACTCGAAAACCGCTGAACCGATACTGTGGCACCCGAGAATCTGGCCATTAGTTTTTGGTTAGGGTGGGGGGTTGGTAAGGGGGTATGGGAGAGGGCTAAAAATTTAAAAAAATCGTAATTCCAAAACTACAGTAGCTAGCGAAACGCGGTTTTCAAATTAAGATTAGGAGTAATATTTGCAATAAAATTTGTAATAACATCAAAATCAGTCAAAGTCGTAGTTTTCGAGATATTAACATATTTTAGTATGGGCGGCTATACGAGCCTCCCGGCGCCATTTTTTTTTTCATGTCTTAAAAAAAATAAAAAAATTATAGGGGTGAGCCACTTTTGAAGAACACCCGATATAGATCAGTACTTAAGTAGAATATTCGCATTGAAAGTAAAATTTCATGTTGTTATTCAAGTGGTCTAAATTTAGACAGATAATACAATGATTTACACTAAACAGGGTCCACAGGATGCTATATAATTTAAACTTATCATACAGTATAGATACCTATACGTATGTGGTTCAATATATCTCTATTCATTATAATATCATATTATTTCATTATTTCATATACTAATTGTAGTTTTAATTAATTGCTAGAAAACGATACATCAAAAATTTCCATTATAATAAATACATATTTTTAAAGTGACTTCCCAATTATAACTTACCTTCAACACATTGCAAAAAATAGATAAATATGTAATGTATGTAATTAAACAAAAAAATAAATGTACCATTTTTCTTTAGAAAACGAGTTAAAAAAATAAAAAAATATTATATATATATAATATTTTTTATATATATATATATATATATATATATATATATAAAGATTAAACGGCTCAGCCCTCAACAACTCGTAACCGTATACACCAGTGCAGACACGCACACCCACACACTCACACAACCACACCTACACTGGTGTATACGGTTACGAGTTGTTGAGGGCTGAGCCGTTTAATCTTTTTTTTTATACATTTCCCTCACTATTTCTTTCTCTTTCATATTGGTACCACGGCTAAGGGTATTGCGGCGGGTTGCTGTTGGCTACCTCCGCGGCTGTTCTGGACGAAGCCCAAAATCCTGGGCGACTCTGGTTCTTGGCTGCAAATTGGGGCTTTAGGCTCCCGTTTGCTCCTTTTTTTTTCCATCATTTATTTTCGTTTCTTCATCACATTTTTTTTCCATCTCCTGGGTTGCACACGGTGCCTCGTTGCATCGTTTGCTTCCTGGATTTTTGTGATTTGGGATCGGTTTCTTCGCTTCCTGAATCCTTACCGTACTGATGAAGCCTGAAGGCAGTTACATCGGTGTGCACTAGTGTAGGTGTGGTTGTGTGAGTGTATGGGTGTGCGTGTCTGCACTGGTGTACACTGGTGTATACGGTTACGAGTTGTTGAGGGCTGAGCCGTTTAATCTTTTTTTTTTATACATTTCCCTTACTATCCCTCACTATTTCTTTCTCTTATATATATATATATATATATATATATATATATATATATATATATATATATATATATATATATATATATATATATATATATATATATATATATATATATATATATATATATATATATATATATATATATATATATATATATATATATATATATATATATATATATATATATATATATATATATATATATATTTAATTAAAGGCAAAAATAAACTTTATAATATACTTTAAATACAAAAAATGTTCTTTTCTTAATTCTCTATCTAATAAAGGAATAATACATAGGGTGTTCTATTAAAAAAAACGAAGAAAGTCTATTTTATATTTTAGAAAGTTTGGCATAGAATTTCGAAGAGCCTGTATGGTTTAAGATTACAATATTTATAGGAAAGTAAGTGCAGACCAATTATAGTAAATATCTGGTCTAGTTTTGATTTCGGGACATTTCTTTTACTTTTAATAATTTTTTTAATAATGGCTGAAAATATATTTTATTTATTTATTTATTAATATTTCTGAAACTATCAAAACATATTTAATAATGTAGATAAAAAAAAATCGTGGGTGTTTGGGAAGGCTTGAAAGGAAACAATGTTTTTGCGACGTTTCGCGACTATATTGTCGCTTCTTCAGGCACCAAAATGCGTACGACACAAAATGAGTACGACACAAACCGAGCATCGATGTATATCGGGCCAAACAATACCTGTCAAGTTTCTGTTCGATTCGTCTGTATGTGTCTTAGTGTTGGCGGTTGGAGTCGCCATGAATGTTTGTAGTCATAATGTGGATTAATATATGTTTTGGTGCCTGAAGAAGCGACAATAAAGTCGCGAAACGTCGCAAAAACATAGTTTCCTTTCAAGCCTTCCCAAACACTCACGATTTTTTTTATCTGCATATTAACTACTGGGAACTAACAATAATCATAATATTTAATAATATCTTATGATAGTCGTCGCGGTAGACTAAAAAACGTTTCAAATCGTGATAGAATAAAACCGCTTGGCAGAAAGTTTACTTACATACAGTACGTCTGCTGGATCTGTGTCTATGAAAGGAATGCAGACAAAAAACATTTAAATAAACAACAATATATTTTATACGTCGACTTGGCGAGTACGTCACCGCAAACCGCTCCGCCCACTCATTTTATTGGCTACTTGCAAATTTGTCGAATTTTTATTGATGGGACGCGTCGTCTAATTTTTTACGAAAAACATGGAGAGAATATCGTTTCCCCTCTCACGGATACCTCGTAGCTACAGAACGGACAGACGTACTGTAATATAGTAGGTTGATTTAGCACTCAGCACCTTATCAGGAGTGGAGGCAAATTCCAAATGGCGGAATTTTTCAAAATGGCACAGCTTAACTTAATTCTTATGAGACTAATTGGGTTAAAATTAATAGAATAGCAATTTTAACTTTTATAATTTATTAAAAGTACAGCGTTTTTAAGAAAAAAAATAAAATGGCGTGATTTTTTACAAAATGGCGCCGGATACCGTTCCTTAGTCTTCGGAATCTTCTAAACTAAAATAAAAAATTAAAAAGAATAAGTCTACTCGCAGAAACTTTTTGTTAGTCTAGCTCGGAAAAATATAAAAATATTTATAAATACCAACTTTTGAATTACACTGTTGGTGTACATGTTTTTGCAGGAACTGTATTGCAGTGTACATGGAAGATCACTTTTGCATTTACACCGACTACTGCTACATCCAGTTTTACGCAGGATCATTTAGCTAGCTCTTGGCATGTCTGCCATACATTTGGAAGAACAGACCATAGAGGAGTCCACTTTGAATTCTTTTCAACCCAGCCCCTTAGGTGATGGCGTTACGTTATCCATATCGTAAGAACGACCCCAGACTTGACCAGCTTGGTAAGTAACCCTTAGGATATGTTGATACAGTGCTGCAGAAGTCGGAGGTATCAAATGAATTGGCTTGTTTTGAGAAAAAAATATTTTTTTTTCTTGTAGTGTCAGTGTTGGTTGCAGTGCTAAGTGGATTGTACATCTGAACAGTGAAGCTAGCAAGGACTTTGACGACATCGTCCAGAATGGAAGACAGTGATGGGCTTGAAATCGCTTGAAAAAAGCTTCGGTTGCCTTATCGCTCTGCGAATTCCATGTTTTCCAGACTTTTTTCTTTTGTAAGAAAAGAATGACACCGTGTCACATCCTGTAAAAGCATGAAACCCAGGAAAAGCGCTAGCCTTGTCGCCAAGAGCATCTAAAATATGATTTTTTAAGCCAAGTGTGTTATTTGTGTGTGAGAGGCTTACCTGCCATAAGGTGTGCTGCTAAATATAGTCTCTTTGCACCTGTATCAAAAAAAAACCATAAATTCTGGAGACCAAGAGATTTAAATGGTGCGTAAAAAGCTATACATAGTACTAGTACATCAGTATCAACTGTTCGCACTACCACGTTCTGGGACCCATGCTGCACCGCATCCCGCATCCTTTAAATGTAATATTATTCTGCCATCTGCTTCTTCTTCAGTACTACATTTGACACCATTAAGGGACGAGTTTGCCTTTGCTGATGAGTAAATTATGTCACCTATATTTGATACATATACTATTTTGCTTTCTACTGCAATAAAAGATTTTGCTAAAAAAAGAAGAGATAAATTTTGTTTAATGGGCTTTTTAAGAAATCTGGCCAGTTTAGTGGAAGTCTAGTAGGCCGGTTACTTGGCGGCGAATTCCATGTCCTCGTTCTTCACAGACAGTATTTTTAACGCTATCAATTACATATCGATCCCAAACAATATCAATGCGCAATGCTCCCAATTTTGCGACATCTTTTTCAACATAAGATTTAAGATCCAGATCAAAATATTCTTGAAATATTTTGCTATAACGGGGAATGACAAAGTGTACAAGAGCTGCACCATCGTAAACAATACAATCGCATGATTCTGGATCAGTATCGCTTGGTACCGGTTCTACAACAGAAAAAATATAGATATGTAAAACTAAAACTTAATACGCGTAATTAATTATGTACCTTCAAGAATATTGGTGAGGTCACTTTTTTGCCCCCGGCGTAATTCTCCATTTTGAGACAGAGATGGTGGGCATTGTTCGTTTTCATGCTGAAAGAACACATTTTAATCCAGTTCACGGGAAAGTTTGGAACGGATTTTTTTTTGTTTGGTGGGCTGGTGGGGAAGGAGGGACGGAAGGGGGTCTTCTCATAATTACTTTCTTGGTGCGCTGCTGCTTGTAATAAATTTTTGATTTGAACTAAAATTTATATCTCGCGCGTAGCTGATAGAGAATTAGCTCGCAACTACTAATTAATACAGAACTAAATTCCGCTATTTTGAATTTTATATACTTAGTGTAGTATTAATCATATTAGCATTTGAATTCAAAATATACTTATTAATTTAATCCATTAAAAAACTTAAAAAAAAACAAAAAAAACAGTAATTCTAAAAAACGCCGCCATTTTGAATTTGCCTCCACTTGCAATAAGGTGCTGCGGGTCAAATCGATTGTTTATGTGCATATACCACCTATACCAAGTGGTTTATTTCTATCATTATTTGAAACGTTTTTCGTGTATTTGGGTTCTACCGCTACGACTATGATTATGTAAAGTGATCAGAAAAGAAGCTAAAAATTCAATAATATACAGGGTGTTCCGTTTAAAAAGAACATTGAGATTCACGTCACACTTTTCTTGCAATTTCTCATTTATCTACTATACTTGTCAAAAATAACTAAGATACGTCAATTTGACTTACGTGCTTCAGTAGCGTATCTGATATTTGTGTCATTAAATATAATTATTATAATTTATCTATTTTTATTAGAATTATACAGGGTGAGTCTTAACGATTATGATGAGAAGAAACTTTATGATATTTTTTCCGCAAAAAAATGAATATTTGGAATTTTTGAAAAAAAAATGTGGAAATGTTTATTAGTTTTTAATTAAAAAACATAATTACTTGATAATATGACAACATAGGTAGTAGATTAAATAATTTACAAGAAAGAAAATGCAGAAAAAGTCCAGTGGTTGTCATAATTTAAGCAAAAAATCATCTTTTTGGGGAATTTTTGAAGCAAAATTACTCGGTTATTTTGAACTTATTTGAAAAACGGTATAGAGAAAGTATATTTCTTTTATAGAGATCTACCAGCTCTGAAAATATTTGCACTTATTTAAGACTCACCCTGTATATGTTTATAACAATTATTTTAATAACTATCAACATTTATAGATAACGTAAAATAAAACAAGTTATTGAGTCTACCCTTCATGATATTTTTACACGTTTTGAATAAAATAAAATGAATCTTTTTATTCTGTACAGACTTACTGATAAGAATGGACCAACCATAAATACCAACTTCCAACTTACTTAAATCTAAATCCAACAAAATCCAGCAACCCACGATAATTCCGGCTGAAGCTCCGCAAACTTTTTCTATCAGATGGGGGGCGAATTGCCTAAAACAGCATCCCACTCCTATGTGGTAAAAACCCATAAAGCCACAACCAGCGAAGGATAGAGTCATTGTATAGTATAAACGGTAATTTATCTGAGATTATACTCCACAAGAAATAGTCACAACAGTCTCAATGTCTGTATGGGTATGGTCTGATGAAAACTGTTTCAAAATTTGATAACCACTTTAGTTATACGAAAATTGTCAAGGCTATAATGGTAATATACCTGTTGTTTGTCGAGTGATTATTATAAATAATGAAGTTCGTATTATTTGAGCGCATGCAGTTAAATGCATAAAAAACTAAATTAACGTTATTCAAGTTGAATATCATAATATAATGGAAAATTATGAATAATTAGCAAGTCAGGATCTCTATTTTGGTCATTTTTTCGAAATTTAAGCCGAAGATCAAGCCAACGTAGGTATGATAAACGATCATTATTTCATACGAAAATAGTATAAATATTGTTTTATTGGGAGTAAAAATAACACTTTTGCCACCTTTTGTGGAAAGGCACAAAAAGTAATTTTTAATTAATTATTGTTACCGAATTATTATACTTTAAAAATTTCAAAAAAAATTGCTTAAATTTTGACAACCTCTGGATCTTTTCTGGGTTTCCTTTCTTGTAAATTTAATCTACTACATATATGTTGCAGTCATATTACCAAATAAATTATGTTTTTTAAAATAAAACTAAAAAAAATCCAAAAATATTTTCCAATATCTAAATCCAAATAACTATCTACTCAACATGCTTATTTTTTGTCAATAATGACATGTATTGACTATTTCAATTCTAAATATCTTAAAAACGATTGCTCGTAGCGATTTTTACCAAGAAATATTTTTTACGTAAAAAATCACGGAAATGTATATTTTTTCACTCAGTAGTTTTATCCAGATGAATACGGACGAAAAGTTATTACTCTTCAAAACAGTTAAAACATATGTAGGTGGTGCCCCCTACAAACAGCAGTCATATTGACACCAAATTCAAATTTCTCATGTCAACAATCTTCCAGACACCAATTTTCATCCAAATATTGACGTTACTTCAGAAATTATTTGGAAAAAATGTAAATAAAAATGAAACTTCTACATCCTGTATCTCCAAAACTAAGCATTTTTGGATATACATTTATACAAACTTCTTTACATTTACTTTATCTGCAGAATATGCTGGCGAAGTTTCCGGAATACAGTTCGGATCACCCCTGTATACTACCCCTAAAATATCTGCACTTATTTAAGACCCACCCTGTATAATTTTAATAATAATCAAGATAATAATTAATACAAAAGAATAGAGATGAAGTGCTTACTCAGATCTAAGTTCAGTAGTATCCAGCAGCCGACAATACTGCCGCCCGATGCTCCAGATACTTCTCTTATCAAATGTGGCGCGAATTTTCGAAAACAGCAACCCACTCCCACGTGATACATCCCCAAAAAACCACAACCGGAGAAGGAAAGATTCATGTTCGGATAAAAGTTGCCGAAAATACCGCCTTCTTATCTATGAAGCTCTATAATATTTGAAAATGTGTCTAATTAATCGTTATAATTTGTTAAAGCAAAGTTCATAGTTGCAACTCTGCTATTATTTATATTACATCCTTTGTTGTTGTCCGTAATCATTTTACGCGTACATCGGAAAGTCTAATCAACCGCATTTTTTCTATTGTCGATGATATAAATTTAATAGCTTGTTTATTGAGTATTCCTGTATTCATAGCTAATATTTTTAATTGTCCAAAATACGATAATTACGGACATGTACTTAATAGCACAAAATAGGCTTTGTAAAAATATATTTATCAGAATATACAGGGTGGTCCGAATTCGGTACTTAGACAGCATATTCTGCAGATAAAAATGAGCAAACAAGTTCGTATAAATTAATAAAGTATGTTCCTATACAGGGTGATACAGGGAGTAGAAGTTTCGTTTTTATTTCGATTTTTTCCAAATAATTTCTGAAAGAACGTCGATATTTCGGTGAAAATTGGGAGTTTTTTGACGCGATCAATTTGATTTTGATCTTACTATGACTCCTATTTGTAGAGGGCGCCACCAACTTATTTTTTAACTGCTTTTAAAAGTAATAACTTTTTGTCCGTACCTGTATAAATCTACCGCGTAAAATATATAACTTTTTTTTTGTAATAAAAAAGGTAATAAAGGTTTTTTGGTAAAAATCGCTACGAGTAAAAGTTCTCGAGATATTTGGAATCGAAATAAGCAATACATGTCATCATTGACATAAATTAAAAAGTTCCCAAAGTTACTATTTTAGGGAAATAGGTAATTATCTACTTAACATATTTATTTTTTTAATAATAGCATGTATTGACTAGGTATTTCCATCTGTGATTTCCATTTTAAATATCTCGAGAACGGTTGCCTGTAGCGATCTTTGCCAAAATATAATTTTTACGTGGAAAATGTATATTTTTTCGCTCAGTGGTTTTATACACCTACGGACAAGTAGTTATTATCTCCCTGTATCTCCAAAACCAAGCATTTTAGGACATAAACTTATACGAACTTTTTTACTCATTTTTATCCGTCATTTTTTAATGAAGTTTACGAATACAATTCGGACCACCCTGTATATTAGGTTTATTTAATATCATGTCCCTACAATATTCCCTTGGTGACATTGTTTTATTGTTGACCAAAAAAAATATTTTCAAGGTTTAATAATTGAATTCACTGACAATGAAAAAATACCGTAATGTGCTGGGCATTGTGAAATACATTTTGATAAGCTATAAATAATTTTATATTATTCTTCAGGAGGTATAATCTGTGGTATAAGTAAATCGTTTTAGCAACTAAAGAGGCAACACGTAAATATTAGAAAATAACTTACCCAAAGGTAAATCCAGTAATAAACAACAGGCCGCCATAGCACCAGCTGATGCCCCAGAAATTTTGTCTAATAACAAATGTGGGGCATATTTTCGAAAACAACACGCGACTCCGACGTGGTAAATACCCAAAAACCCGCAACCAGCGAACGACAAATTCATTTTCTCTATTTAGGAAAATTAAGGGTGAACCAAAAATGAAAATTTAATTTAAGAAAACAATTTAAAATCACTCGTAAATTCTCACTCCTTCACAAGTCAGACGATGTATTACGTTTAAAGTTTATCAACAATTCTCTGACTCTGACGTTCTGCTCTCGATAACAGATGTTTTTAAACCCGTTGCCACTTTTCCTGCCCGTTTATAATTTATATATTATTAAATTTATCTCCATTTTCAAATGATTAGATTAAAATATTGAAGCCAAGTATTTTAACGGTATTGTAATGAACGGGAAATACATTAAACTAATCTAAATACCTTCTTTAAAGTATGTTTTCTTATAATTAATATTTCATGATGCATAATTTGGCAACACGGCATAGTTTCAGGTACTACCGCGTTTTTCGCTTTACACGTCATAAAACAAGTTGATGGCATATCTAGGAACTGGGTATTTTCATTCCGCGTTTCCTATTGGTCGAAAATGGTGGTGTGGCATTTACTTAAATCATTCATGTTAAAGGGACCGTTTCTGTGGGTCAAGGAATTCAGGTACGACTGGGTACGAACTACGAAGCCTCGCAAACACCAAAATCACTTAGATTTACTATTTTTACTAAAAGGCCTTCCAAATACTAAATAAACAAATATTTCTTAATCTTTTCAGTTAACCGAAAGTTGATCCATTATAAATTAGACTAGCACTCCTCTGTCCAAATTTATTTTAAAATGAATGTTCTAAGGAGCATAAAATATGATAAATGAAGAAATAAGAATGCTTTAGACTGCAATTAATTTTAATATATGAATCTCTATCAATAGAAATTATTTAATATAAACTTTTTCTCGATTTGTCTTATCATCGTCCTTCCTTATGTCTATTATACAGGGTGTACCAGAAATAAGGGCACATTTTGCAAGTATTCTATAGGGTGGTAGATCTGACCAAAATAATCATATTTTCTCTTTACTATTTTTAAAATAAATTGAAAATAGGCGTGTTAACTTTGAAAATTAAAAAGAACTGCAACATTTTGAGAGCCTTTGGCAGCGATCGATAATCGGCAACAAATACCAAGCAATTACCTTGTGTTTTTGTAGAAATATATAATTTATAAACATACAGAATATGGACAACATAGGAGATGGAAAACATTGCATTCTCTCGAACAAATTTCCGGAAATTGAACAAGCAGCACTCAAAAGTTTTTTAATATTTTCCGGAATATGTCAAGAAAAACATTTTTCTTGCCAAAAAAATCTCATGGACGTGTTTCTGGGGTCGAACTATACTACCAGTTCAAATACTTGCACATTTTTCTGGAACACCCTGTATAGTATAACGCAAGCACAGCTTTGGTGGCCGAATGGGATCATGCGTTTGACCCCAATATTTCTCACGTTAACATTTTTACGCAAAAACTACTGTAGATAACCAAGTGGTTCGCAGTTACATAAGTTCTAACTGCTGTGCGACCTTCCAGTTTTACGTCAATAGTCCATTTATCTTCAAATATTATTTATTTCCTGCACAAATCACTTGTTTGTGGGGAAAAAACCCTCTGTATACGTGTTCCTTAATAAAAACAAATTTTTAATTTGTGTAAATATTTATTTTATATTTAAGAAATAAGGTTGTACAAATTTTTGATTTTAATAGAAATTTTGCATTTGAAAACTCCATGGCTAATTATACTAGATTTAAAGTTTTCCAGATAAAAAACGATGGTTAAGTTACTTCTAGTAGTTTTTTCCAGCAGTCAAATCGTCTTTGGTTTCTGGAACCCATTTCAACATACCCATCAATGTATTTTTATATTTCTGTAATTCAGCAATATCTTCTGAAAGTTGCGAATTTTCAATGTCGAAGTAGTACTTCGTACTGACCTCCTTCCTCACTAGGGGATGTTCACAAATATTCGTTAAAGCCTTTAATAGAACATATTGTTGAGTATTGTTGGGCGTATCTCACTTTGGTGGGTGATTCTACAGATAAAACAGAACAGAGAAAGCAAAATGATGAAATATAAAGAAATTATAAATAAATTAGTGTCATGATTTCGCTAATAATAAAATGGATGCATCGTAACCTTTAAACGCAAATATCTTGTTCACCGTTTCGAACTAAACGAAGAGCAAGGATGCAAGGGGTGCAAGGGGTATTGAAGCGATACATATAGCCTAGCTTACCCAAAAGTCAACCTCACCTTCACGTTGTGTTCACGTGGTGCACCCTGTTTAAACAAACGAGGCTCTGACGACCGAGTATAGGCAGTATATCATTATACAACCCTCAGACCTACCACCTTTCTGGGAAAGAGGAGTAGTAAATTACTCCTAGCCGGCCGAGAACGTAGCACAAGGGAACTATCGTCGGAGTCCTCACTGTGTGTCCCTGTGCCATAGCCATCCCGTGCTACAGTTGCAGCCAAACTGTGCGGCAGCGTAACCGTCACAGTTTAACCTTTTTACGCAGCTTACACTCATCAAAGATGGAACATTCGAGTATGACAAAATCATCGTCCGGAGGTAAAATACCTCCTCGATCGGATCTCCAAGAGGGGGTGCCTACTCCAGCGTATCATCGGGGAACTAAACATCGTCAATGTTTCACGTTTGCGGCGTGGAACGTCCGCACTCTACTGGATAAGACAAACTCCAATCGACCAGAGAGAAGAACAGCACTGGTCTCACAGGAACTCCACCGACTAAATATAGATGTTGCCGCTCTTAGCGAAACCCGCTTTGCAGATGAAGGTAGTCTCACTGAGGAGCATTACACCCTCTTTTGGAAGGGTCACCCGGCAACACACAGGAGAATTCATGGCGTAGGCATTGCAATCAAAAATGAAAACCAATTGACAAAACTTTATCAGCTAATTGTTACCATTATTACAACACACTAAAAGGAGCCACCAAATTAACTGAGGTACCTATTGGTGTCTCCGACCGTCTTATGACTCTAAGGTACCCCATATCAGACAAAACTTACGTCAACATCATAAGTGCCTACGCTCCTACCCTAGATGCTAAAATTGAGGATAAGGATAAATTTTACCAAGCTTTGCAAAATATACTCCAACAAATTCCAAAGCACGAACGAATCATTTTGCTAGGTGACTTTAATGCCCGTGTCGGCAAACAACAAGAAATATGGCCTGACGTATTGGGAAAACACGGAATGGGAAACGTAAATAACAATGGTGAACGCTTATTAACAACATGCACAGAGTAAAATCTCTGCATCACCAATACGTGGTTCGTGTTGAAAGACAAGTTTAAAGGTACCTGGAAACATCCGATATCAGGACATTGGCACCAATTGGACAACGTAATCGTTCGAAGGACGCACCTAAAAGATGTCAGTCTCACAAAAGGCAGAGTAGATGCCGAATATGGCACTGACCACCGTCTTTTAATATCAAAAATTAAAATCCAGTTAAAAAATGAAGCTCCATGGGAACACTAAACCTGCAGATCCATTCCTTAACAAGAGCATCAGCAATGGTGGACGCTTCTTGATTTGGCAACGCGTAGGCCTCGACCCATTTGCTGAAGTAATCCATTACTACCACAATGCATTTGTTGGGAAAGGACCACGTCGATCGCTATTCGTTCGAAGGGACTGCCAACATTGTTCTGGCGCATAGGGGCTTTACCACGCTTTTGTGGCCCATTGATGGCTGCGCAAGTGTCACATTTCTTACACCAGGCCCTCACATCTTCTTTGCAGTACACCCAGTAGAACCGTTCACGCAGCTTGCCAAGTGTCTTGGTAACACCAAGATGTCCACCGTTGGTTCCATTGTGAACTTCCTCCAAGACTTCTGGGACCCTCTTCTTTGGAATGATGATCTGCCTTCTCTCTTCTTGTCCCTCCGGTCTCTCGATCACACGGCGAAGTAGTCCGTTATCTATTACCAAGGAATTCCACTGGGCCCAGTACGACTTTGCGTTCGGCGAATATCTGCAAACTTCTTCCCACGTTGGTCTTTGGCCTGCGTTTTTCTAGTTAATTACTAAACCTAATTCTGGGTCACTGGTTTGGTCATTTGCAAGATCTTCGGGTTGCCAACTATCATTAACCACAGTTGTTCTTAGGAGTTTCACTTCTTTCTCTTCTGCTCGGGAACAATGCTTACAGTCCTTAGCGCAAGGTCTTCTGGAAAGTGCGTCGGCATTCCGATGGATTGCCCCAGCTCGATGTTCTGTGTCGAAGTCAAATTCTTGTAATCGTTCAATTCATCTAGCTACCTGCCCTTCAGGATTCTTAAACTGCAACAGCCATTTCAAAGCAGCATGGTCTGTTCTTAACAAGAACTTTCTTCCATAGAGATACTTGTAGAAGTGTTCCACTGCTTTACCTACTGCTAGTAATTCTCGTCTGGTTACACAGTAGTTCCTTTCCGGTTTTGACAAGGTCTTACTAAAATAACCAATGACTTTTTCTTGACCATCCTGGATCTGAGACAGAACAGCGCCTAACGCAACATTGCTAGCGTCGGTATCCAATATAAAGTTTCCGTTGCCAAGGGGGTAGCTAAGTATGGGCGCACTAGTCAGGGCCTTCTTCAGTGTTCGGAATGCCTCGTTAGAATCTGAGTCCCAAGAGAAACGCCTCTCGCCTTCGGTAAGTCTGGTTAATGGTTTAGCGATGGTGGCGAAACCCTGTACATAACGGCGATAGTATGTGCATAGCCCCAAAAAGCTTCTGAGTTCATGTTTGTCTTTGGGTATCGGCCATTCTTCCCTGTCTTGGTCTTCTGTGGATCTACCGCAACTCCCTGGGAGGAGACCACATGGCCCAAGTAGTGTACCTTTTCTTGACACAGATGACATTTCTTGTGGCTAAGTTTCAAACCAGAGCTCGCAAGTCGCTTGAAAACTTCTTCCAAATTCTTCAGATGATCGTCGAAGGATTTACCCACCATTATAATGTCATCCAGGTACACTAAACAGGTGGTCCAGGATAGTCCCTTTAACACAGACTCCATTAGTCTCTCAAAGGTAGCTGGCGCGTTGCACAATCCAAAAGGCATGACGGTAAATTGCCACAGACCGGAGCCCACCGAGAACGCTGTCTTCTCTCTGTCTTTCGGCGCCATGTCGACTTGCCAATATCCACTCTTCAGATCTAAGGAAGAGAATATTGTCGATCCCGCCAGTGTGTCCAGAGTACCGTCTATCCCCGGCAGGGGATAGCTATCCTTCTTGGTAACATTATTGAGCTGCCGATAATCAACACAGAACCTGGTGGTACCGTCTTTCTTCTTTACTAGTACTAACGGCGATGTCCACGGGCTGTTAGATAATTCGATAACACCTTCTTCTTTCATTTCTCGAAGGATCTTGTCAGCTTCTTCACGTTTGGCGAGTGGAAGTCTTCTCGGATTTTGTTTGATTGGTCGTGCATCTCCGGTATCAATTTTATGTTGTACTAAATTGGTACGACCTCTCTGTCCTGCTTCTCCTTTATCAAACACATCTTGATACTTGATTATCAGGTTTCTCAATTTTCTACTATTTTCGGGAGATAATCCCTTAAAGTTTACTAACTCCTTCACCATTTTGTCCGGAATTTTTGAAGTCGAAACTTTGGAGGCTTCCACGCTTCGAATAACTGAGGAGACCAAACAACAGTACCCTAAGAGGGTTCCCTTCTTCAAGGATACAGAATAATAATTCGTGTTCATTACTCTCACCGGTACAGTCTTCTTCGCTCGTTGCAGGGCTTTTCCAACAGCGACCCTTCGTCCTATTTCGCTGTCATGGTTCCTTGGCTCCAACAGAATAATACTCCCATTATTCATTTTACCTTCCAGGCAACCATCCAAAAATATCTCACAGCGCTCAGGGATTGAAACATCTTCAGTAGTAGTTTTTATATTGTTTGAGGTTTAGCTCAAAACCTCTAGTGGTCATGATGTCCATTCCGAGAATAAGTTTATCTTCGATGTCTGCTACCAACACTCGATGTTTAAAACAGGTGCTTCCGATATCAAAATTAAGATCTACCTCTCCATGGATGAGAGCGGAGCTTCCTGTAGCTGTACGTAGTCGCCATTGTGTTGTTTTAATCCTTTTTGATGTTTTAAGGATATCCGGCCTGATGATCGTTTTGGTCGCACCCGTATCCAACAGCATCGTCCGTAACTCTCCATCCACAAAAATGCTGTTGAACTTGTGTTGTAGCGATGTGACTTGAGCAGTTTTCGTTGGAACCTGTTAGGTACTGCTCGATATGTGTCCCTTTGATTCGACGCTTGGCGAAACCGGGTCCACGTGCTTTTCTTTACAGTGACTCCTTACGTGTCCTGCCTCGCCGCAATTCCAGCAACAAGTCAGTCCTTTCTTGCCCATGTACTGGTCCATTACTTTCCGAACAATCCCTTCCACGGATTCGCCGGAACATTCGTCAATGGCCCGTACTCTTCCTAAAGACCGAGAACTTTGTTTCGTGGCCTCGAATTCTAGGGCACGTGCTAAAGCATCCACCAGGTTCGTTGGGTGGGCTAGGAGAAGCGCTTGTCTTGTCTCGTTGTCACGTAAGCCGTCGGAGAATGCCTGTACTGCCAATCGCTCCATAACATTCTCGGGCGTAGCAGGGTACGCAAGGCGAACGAGGCGTGCTACATCGGCTTCAAACTCCTGCAGAGACTCATTTGCCTTTTGAATGCGATTTTTTAGCTGGGAATGATAGAGGTGTTCCAAATGAGCTTGGCCGTACCCCATTTCTAAATGTCGCACCAATTGCTGATAATCTCCCTGTTCCGATGGTGACAGTGTCTGCAGGATGTCAGTCGCATCTCCTCGCAGTGCGACAGTCAAAGCGGTAGCTTTTTCAGCGATTGTCCATCCGTTCGCTCTCGCAGCCGCCTCAAACTGGCAAAAATAATTGGCCCAAACGGTTTTTCCGTCAAACTGTGGAG